TCCGCGCGGAATTAAAAAAAAACTTTATTAGTAGTCTATGTTTTCTTTCAAACTGAGTTCTACGTCTATTTCAAATTTCAGCAAGATCCTTGCAGCCGTTCAGGATACTTTCACACATATATCCATCTATACATTCGCATTTATAATATTAGTAAGATTATATAAAATATATAATATCCATGTTGTACAGACGTTGCCGTCGTGATGCAAGCGAGCCGTACTACGGGCACGTGGGCGCACTGCGCTGTATGGTGGAGGGGGGCGGTGACGTTGCCTTCGCGCGACACTCCGCGCCCGCAGAGGTGTCTGGTGGGCGCCGTCGCGAGTGGTGGGCGCGCGATCTGCTGCCCGACGACCTGCAGCTACTCTGTCCCGATGGTATACCAGCCATCTTCATACTACATTGTTTTACATATTATTTTCTTAGTAACGGTTACATGCCATGCTAGCGGACAAAAAAAACAAGCCTATAATATTCCCGCATTTATCAGGAACCTTCCTCTCAAATTTTGTTGAAATCAGTCCAGCCGTACATTACGCGGACTTATGGACAGACTCATAGACAAACAATATTAAAAAAAAGTATCAGTTATATCAATTTATAGTAAAGTGAGCAATAAATATTAAAAGAAATGGTCTTGGCAGACAGACGGACGGACAACGAAGTGATCCTATGGTTCCGTTTTTTTCCTTTCTAGGTACGGAACCCTAGTATATAGATATCCTACACTAGGTATTACAAACTACAAAATATGCTATGATAAAACTTTCTTAACCCATACTATTTACAGGTACTCGAGCTAAGATGCATGAATATGAACATTGCAATCTAGGCAAAGTACCCGGCGCGGTACTAATGGGTCGCGCCAATCACACCGAGCTTGATACATATTCAAATCTAATGATATACGCACAACAGTTATATGGTGCAGCCACTTCTGATGAATTCAGGTAAATATAACATTTTGTACAAAAATTCAAAGTATTGACTCAAAAGATAAAAAGAATGTAAACACTGCTGGTAACCAGATTGTTTCTACCAGCTGTTAAGCCCTCCGCCATATTGTGACGTCATAAAATCGAAAAAGTTCACATCAAATCTCATCGAAAATTTACTCACATGTCACAAATTAATCCCTACAAATATTATAAATCCGAATGTTTAGATGGATGGATGGGTGTTGGAAGATATATCCGGAAGGGCTCAACGGATATTGATGAATTTTTTCATAGAACACAATCTGGTAGACCCTATAGGTCACTATTTAATTTTTTTTTTCAATTCGACGGAGTCGCAGGCGGCAGCTAGTAAATTTATAATAATGCTTATTAATTGTTACAGTTTTAGCATGTTCTTTTCTCAACCACCATACGCGGACCTCATCTTCAGCGATGCGGCTGTCCGTCTAAAGCCATTGCCACACAGCAAGCGATCAGCTGAGATGATAGCCGGACCTGCGCTACTCAGAGCTGCGAGAATAGTGTCATGTGATGCACCACAAGCATCATACTATGTAGCTCCCGATCCGGAATTCTTATCACATTCCTACAGAACGTATATTATGGGACATGTACTGGCTATTACGTTGTTTATGGTCGTTTTAATGCAATAACGCAGTAAGACTATGGTTAAAATGTTGCCAGTGACATGCTAAAAATGTTTTTTTTTCATGAATTATTCATCAGTTTCCTGTCCTACGTGGACTTAGTTGATTTATTTATAGTTTTCTAAATGTGCACTGACATTTTCTGTTTCATTTAAGCTTGAAAAAAGTAATTTTGATAGCAATATGGCAACATTACTCACTCTTATGTCAAATGTTGATTTGATTGTAGACTAAAAAAATAGTAAAACTAGATTGTAAGACACGAAAGGTAGATAGAAGGTAGGTAAGTGATTAATTTTTGCAATTAGAAAAAAAATGAACATATTTGTGAAATATTAATATATGTAAGTAAAAATATCTTACATATTTTGTATATTGTTCTTACTTATTTTATGTAAAATATTCCGTCCATGTGAATCTCTTTTTATATTATTTTATTTGTAACAGAATTGTATTAACTGCGCTATATTTTTAGTAGCTCAAGGGCAACTACGCGCTGCGTACTATGCCTTTCCTTAATCCCCCCCCCCCCTTATCGGTATTCTGCGCAGCATTTCCTACAAAGTTCGAACGCGGGAATATGAAATCTTGATTTATATTAAGCTGTGTCTGATTTTTAAATCTAAGTTCTGTTACTTATGTTTTAGAAATTAATTGATGAATGTTTGACAATGAATTCCGTCCATGTGAATCTCTTTTTTTTATATATTTTATACAAATCAAATTAAACAATTTTAATAAATAGATATTTTATTTATCATTTAATAATTTATTACTAACATAACATTGGAATCCATCGGGTAAGTTTTCAAATTTTTCCATGATAATCTTCAAATCCGGTCTACGGCATATTTCTTTTATAGCAAATTTACAAACTTTTCCATTAGTATATAATATACTTGCATGTTCTTTCCATTTACCAGACATGCAATTTGATTTAGCTAATTCCGATTTGATAATAGGCACCAATTTACTACATTTTGATGTTAATTTTGCACATAAAAATAATGCTTTATATGAAATATATCTTAAATGATTTATACAATGTACAAAACTTACATTATTCGGTTTATTCTTCATTATTACTTCTATAATCAAGTTACATAATTTAACTGTAACCTTTTTCTTGTATAGAAAAAAATATTTATCAATCTCATCCTCGTCACAGACTATAGACAATATTGTACAAAATTTATTAGCTGCTAAACAAAATGTTATAAATATATGCTCCCATAATGATTCCTCAGTATTATAATGCAGATTAAAAATATGACCACTTATTTGAATCCCAGACACTCCGATACGATTCTCTAAGAATTTATAAAGGTTTGTAATAGCATGAGAAAAGGATATCTTGTAACACATTTGGCCGGAATATACATTATTGGCCCGACTGACATTTAATGTATCAGTATTGTAAGAATAGCCCAAAAATGTCATTGTATTGGTAAATTTAATAAATTCATGAGGAAAATTTACCAATGTCTTATCGTAGTTAACATTTTTATATCTAGATAAAGCATTTAGAAATGATTTTGCATCCTCCAATGAGTTTGTAATATATAAATAGTCATCAACTACTCGAGTAAATAGTTTCAATTCTTTTACATTTGTATGATGTTCGTAAAAATAAATTTTATCCATATAAGAGTAGTATAGTTCAGAAAGGGCTGGTGAATATTTGTACCCTTGTACTAAGCCTTCCTTCCATTCGTAAATTGTTGATCCAATACGAATTAATAAAGGCTTTTGTAACTCTGACATAATGTCCTTAAAATTCTGCGCTAACTTTCTTTTCATATAAATACATTTCTCTGATTCTTGTAACATTAAATGTCTTTTATGAATTATCTTTAATAATTGCTGTTTATTAATAGAACCAAAAGCATTAGTAAGATCTGTTTTTATAAAATACAGTTTTGGTTTATTCTTTTCAAGCCATGTTGCATGCAGTAACTCATACTGTTTCCCCATTTTCTCTTGAGTCTTTCCAGTTAATGAATTTATAAAAAATAATTTTTCTTTAATTTTACATTTTTCATCTTTACTTAGTTGATTATTTTTGTAGCATACAATTATTCTGCAATTATTATTAGGCTTAAGTATTAAATGAAGTTTTGGGATGTCTTTTTTAAGATTCTTAAGACACAATCTTTCCTGAAGATTGGAATTTTTTATACATTTACTACCCAATTTCAATTCATATTTTTCAATAACTTTGGTATGGAGCATATTGTAGACTGTTTTGTCGTGAAAACTTTGCCAGTGCTCTTTTTTAAAAAAATAAAGCTTATTTTCATCTGAATCTAATTTACATGTAGTCACATAAAAATTTAAGTTTATAATAGCTGATAAAATATATTTCATAACCCAATATAGAAATCTATACAGTAATTTCATAGACGTGTCAATACGAAGCGTTGTCCATGGGAATATAGAAAAGTCCCATTTTCTCAATAATTTTGTGAAAAATAAATATTGTCTATTCATACTAAATATTATTGTATGGACTAGTTTGCGAAATATCTTATAATTATGATTCCCACCGTAGAAGTATTTAGGTACTAAATCTTGTAAAGCCTTCATACATCCAATGAAGATATCTTCCTTTGCAACTGCTTTCATAATTTCAGAATACATACATCGAGGAAAATATTGTTTAAAGTCTTCTTTGCAGTTAATTCTAACATTATTTCTTACCTCGTCGATGAAATTAATAAAGGTTCCGGGTAATTCGTCTGCTAAACATTTGTCTTCAAGTATATATTCACAAAATAATTTGCTATCTTTTTCTTTTAGATATTTCAAATTAAGAACATTTTTAAATGTTCTAATATTTTGTTTGTTTATAAAGTAATGAGAGAAACATATGGGATTATCCATAATACACAAACTGTAATCACCAATTTTAAATAATAAATAACTAAATTAAATAAATTCCCATGTTTTCGGTACTTTGCTTAGTTAAGCAAAATGCATTTAAATTTTGCGGCAACTTGTTGCAACTTGTATTCGAAATTCGAACAAGTTGAAACATGTCATTACGTTTCTTTTTAAGATTCTATTTTAATGAAAGGTAAAAAAAAATTAGGTCTTGTATAGTATTCGGTTTTTCAATATTTGAGACAGGATAACATGATAAATAAAATATAAATAATAAGTAACAACAAGTTTGTAAATTTGTAAACAAAAAAAATGAAAGAAATATTAATGACAACTAAGCAGGCAGGTAATTTTGTCTAGCGGCAACATGGATATTTCGAAATTGGAAAATTGTTACACACTTGTTGCGCACAATTCAAAATGTATTTGATTTCTATGATATATAATAACTTTTAATATAATTTATTTATGTAATTACTTTGGAAGAATTTATGCAGATTAAAACTTAAAATGAAATGTTTATAATTGTTATATAACCTTAACGTCAATATAATTTTCATTATCAAATTATCATATACGCATGTGATAAATCTAATACGAGAGTTCGACGTTACAGCACAGTATACAATCGAAAAATAATTATTACTTTAAATAATTATGGCAAAGACAATTGTGAATGATTTGATACAAATTTTTAAAAGCGGTGTAACGGCAGTCTTGCCTGAGAATATCATAAAAAAATGTTTAAATTACAGTCCTATAACACAAAATCTAAAAGTTTGCGAAGAAAATTATGACTTAAAAAACAAAAAAGTTTACGTAATCGGAACTGGAAAAGCTGCACAAAATATGGCTATTGAAGTTGAGAAATTAATAGGAAGCAAAATCACAGAAGGAATAATTAGTATACCCAAAGGAAGCTTAAATAAGAATTTAATTGAAACAAATATATCTTATTATGAGGGTGCCAAAGATAATTTACCAGATAAAGAAGCTATGATTACAGCTAAAAAAATTTACCATCTTATAACAAATCTAGGAAAAGATGGTTTCCTTTTGGTCTTAATATCAGGAGGTGGCTCGGCTTTACTACCTTTGCCAATAGAACCAATAAAGCTAAGTGAAAAAACTACATTAATTAAACAATTAGCACATTCAGGTGCAGATATAAAAGAGTTAAATACTGTTAGAAAAAGAATATCTGCTCTAAAAGGAGGACAATTAGCTTTAAAAAGTAAAGCAAACAAAACTGTTGCACTAATACTATCAGATATAGTTGGAGATCCATTAGACTTAATTGCTAGTGGTCCTACAACAGAGAATACAGATAATCCAGAAGATGCTTTAAATATTATTAAGAAATACAATTTATATGATAATCTCCCACAATCTATAATTACAGTGCTAGATAAGAATAATCAACAACATTTTCCAAAAGAAATAGTTAATAACTTTATCATTGGTTCAAATAAATTGACCACAGAAGCAGCTGCTAATAAAGCTAAAGCACTTAGTTATTTTCCTATTCAATTATCAAATATTGTAACTGGTAATGTCAAAGAAATTGCACTCGAATATGCAAATTTAACAAAAGTATTTTGTGACTTTTTAAGTAACAAAATTAATGCAGCAACATTAAGAGACATCATAGACAACTTAAGTATACCAGGACTTAATTCACATTTCATAGATTCTCTTGAAAGTATAAAAGAGAAGGATATCTGTTTGATATTTGGTGGTGAAATTACTGTAGAAGTAAAAGGAACAGGGTTAGGTGGAAGAAATCAACAATTAGCTTTAGAATACTCTTATTATTTGAATGATATAAAAGATGAACTAAACAATTATAATATTTACTTTCTAAGTGCAGGAACTGATGGTATTGATGGACCTACAGATGCAGCTGGAGGTATTGGCTATCTTGATTTGATATCAGATTGTAAAAATGAACAACTAGATGTTAATTCATATTTGAATAATAATGACTCATATAACTTTTATAAGAAGTTTAAAAATGGTTCCCTTCATGTAATAACAGGTCATACAAACACTAATGTGATGGATATTCATTTAATATGCATTAAAAGACAATAATAATTATTAGAAATATTTTTCTATAAACATGGTTTGAGAAATAAAGAAATGTTACTCGGCTTTTCCTTTTCAACTTTTAATTTAGCAGATGCCAATACTGCTTGTTTACATAAACCAGCAAATTTATCTTTCTTCCTTTTGTTGTTTTTTATTATTTTAGGTTTATCCTTAATAGTGTTTGATAGTGTATTATTTTTGTTGCTCAATGAAAATACATCCTTGGATGTGATATATGCATTTAGTATTTGGTTCTTCTCAGTCGCCTTTAGGTCCTCTTTATTTTCTATAACATTTTTCGATTTTATGTTTTTCGTATATGTATTTCTTAATTCAACCTTTTTTAGTTCTTTATCTTTCGATTTTGGTTTTAAAACAGTCCTAGTAGTGTTGTGTTTGCAAAAAGAACAGATTTGTTCCTAAAAAAAGACAAGCAGAGTAAATAATGATAAAAATAAGTTATCAAAATATATGTTTTCTCATTATACTTACAAGCTTATTGCTATGTAATAAATCTTTTTTTGTTTTATTTTTCTTGATTCTTTTTCTCTGTCTTTTGGTGAGTTGTAATGATTTGACCTGAAAATAAGTAATAATGGTGATAGGAACCATATGAAATATGTATACTTATGAAATAACAGAAGTGTCATACTTTTGAAACAGTATTTTTTGTCCATTCTAAACAACAATGCGGACAACGGCTTTTGACTGAGAATTGTTGCTGTGGTAATCCATAACCTTGTGTTATTTCCTTACATCTCATCCTAAAAGAATAATAATTTATATTTTAATTAATATGTAAAATATAGGAATTAAAAGAAAGTCTTATGATAAGGATTCTTACAAGTAAAAACTTCTAAGATGTTGTACTTGCGAATTCTCTTGTGGTACAGTTGCTAATCTAGTTGCTACTTTGTATAAAAATCCTATTCGTTTTTCAGTCATCTTCTTTTGTAATCAATTGAGTGAAGTACAGTTAAGGCAATTGCCAAAATATTCGGGCAATATCATTAACAAATGCAATATGTATTAACTTGTGTAAATATTTATTTGGTAAACTTTATATTGCTTTGTGTTATGGACAGGGGCAGGGACAGATGTCAAAATGACTTTAATCCAATTTTTGATGTGAAATTGACAGTTACGTTAAAGTTCAAAAATTTTAAGTGGTGGTTTTCTATATGGTGCTAAACATGTATCTTAGGCTTAACATTAAATTAAAAAACTTAAAAATAAACGGGATATTATATAACAGCGGGTTAGTTATCCTTGTTAGAATATAATTTTATCACTTTGTTACATTGAAAATATTATTAAATAATGTACAGAGAAATAGAACATAAGTAAATAAAAAATATATTTTAGGAATTGAATTTGTATAATTACAACGAAATACGATTATTAGAAAATAATTTTTGTCTAAAAATGTTGTATCCAAAGCTTAAAATAAAGGAACACTTGAATTCGCGCCAAAATTAATTGAAGCTTGTCAAACAAACCCAGTCAACAACTTTATTAAAAGTTGAAATTTTAAAATAAAAAACTAAGTTCTCATTCCAAGAAACCACTTTTATCTAAATAAATAAGTTTTAATTAAGAATACGAAAAGAAAGCTGTGACATAAGTGATTTATCTGGAAACCCCCACATGTGTAAGCTAAAGTAAAAAATAGGGACTTAACCTGTCAACAGTTTGTTAAACAGTTAAAAGCTTTTTATTTGAAAATAATAATAACTTAAACAATTTTTAATACTTTTAAACATGGATGTAGCTGATACTTATTCTACCCAAAAGCAAGTAAAAGATGATGTAGGCGTGCGTTGTCAAAAGCTGTTCCAAGATTTTCTAGAAGAGTGAGTTCTTTTTACCGAATTTATAATATTTATAACATAAACTCAACTAAAGAAATATTTTACAAAGTACTGTGACATTTTATTCATGGAAAATTAAAATATTTTTTCAAATTAAGGGCAATTCTTACATTAGGAGATGTCTATAATTCCTAGGAGACTTTCAGTATGTGTCACATAATATACTAGTACATTTATTAGTAATTAATGTAATATTGTGAAGGACTAGTTTAACTTATATTGCAAACTATACAAATTGTTAAGTTTTTCAAAAACAAGAATTTTATGTAAATTATATTAAAAAGTGTACTATAACTATGTTTAATGATTTAAGGTTCAAAGAAGACAATGAAATTAAATATGAGAAACCGGCAAAAGAATTAATAAAGCCTGAAGCCAGTACTTTAGAAGTTAGTTTTGATGATGTTGAAAGATACAATCAGAATCTGGCTACAACGATTATTGAAGAATATTACCGAATATATCCGTTTCTCAACCAAGCTATATTAAACTATGTGTTAAGTATAACTGATAGTAATGTTAAAAAGGAAATTGTAGGCAAAGAATGCTATGTGTCTTTTGTAGATGTGCCAACAAGGCATAAAGTACGAGAATTAACAACGGCTAAGATTGGAACATTGATAAGAATTTCAGGACAAATTGTGAGAACTCATCCCGTACATCCGGAGTTAGTTTTGGGTACATTTGTCTGTTTAGATTGTCAGACTGTTGTTAAAAATGTTGAACAGCAATTTAAGGTATGTTTATATGTTTAGAAACCTTTAAAAATCTGTTTATTCTATTGTGAGATATTATTACAACCTCTATAAGCGAGAAAAATTATTCAGTCCCTTGGACTCTTGCTTACATAGGTATGAATGGAACATGAACATCGGATTAGTATGAAATATAATAAAAAAATAACTTAACTAAATTTAATTTTTCCAATTGCCTTTTACTTAAAGAAATTATTATGTATTACATTATTTAATCTGTTTAATTTTATTTACAGTATACATTACCAGCAATTTGTCGGAATCCAGTCTGCGCGAATCGAAGACGGTTCATGCTAGATGCTGACAAATCAGTATTTGTTGACTTCCAAAAGATAAGAATTCAAGAGACACAAGCAGAGTTACCTCGTGGCTGTATACCTCGCTCTCTTGAAGTCATACTAAGAGCAGAAGCTGTGGAATCCGTACAGGTATTTACCACCTTTGAATACATCTCCGTGATGATTTTGAATATTAACTTTATGCTCTTATAATTGTAGAGTAACATAGTATACCCACCGTTTGACTAAGTTTGGTATAAATAAGTATTTATTAAATACATTTAAGGGCCACTTAACATATATTAAAAAATTCATAGTGAGTTAAGATTATAATATAAAAATGTAATCTTTAAATATATAGTTGAACCGAGATAAGTGAGAAACTTCTATAAGTGAGAGAGAGAGAGAGTTATTATCTGGCTTGATGGTCAACTTCCATAAGAAATCCATCCATCTATAAGAAAATTCTGGTTAGAGAAAAACCTCTATAAGAAAGACAAATAATGCAGTCCTTTGACCTCGCTATAAATTTCTTTCACATTACAGGCAGGTGACAGATACGATTTCACAGGTACACTTATAGTAGTACCTGATGTTGGCTCCCTTTCATTACCTGGTGCAAAAGCGGAGCTGACAACAAGGACTAGGCAGGGGAATGAAGGTCAAATGGAAGGTATCAAGGGATTGAAAGCATTGGGTGTACGTGAACTGCACTACAAGTGAGTTGAGGTCATTTATACATAGTCTAATGGCTTTACTAAATCTTACCTAATCCAACCGCAAGCATGGGGTCATGACTCCAGGCGGTTTCTTTGTAACGTTCAGGAACAATTTACCGAGATATCTTACAAATTTATACTACTATTATAAACTGATTGTTTGTTTGTTTTCATTAAATAGAACTCGAAACTACTAAACCGGTTTGAAGAATTCTTTCTTTCTTGGGAAGGTATGTTGTGATAAAGTGGGCTATAAATATAATCAATTGCTGTTCGTTAGTGTCGCTAAAACTCGAGAACGGCTGAACGGATTCATCTTATCTTAATCTTAAAATGTTAGTGGAGGTCTAGGGAAGGTTTAGAAGTTGAGAAAAATTCCAATAATTTCTGGGAAATAATGAAGTTTTTTTCCATTCGACGCGGACGGTATCGCGGGCGACAGCTAGTGTAGTATATAAATTGTTTTCAGGACAGCATTCCTCGCGTGCAGTGTACAGGCGATGTCGCGTCGCTTTGGTACAGCGGAGATAACTGCTGACGACCTTACAACTGACGACATGAGGAAACACATGACAGATAAGGAGTGGAACCAGGTATATTGTTTCAAATCAATAGTAAATGAAATGTTTCTAAAATTGTGTGATTTACTGTTGGTTTCTGAGATTAAAATCTCTGTATGAAAAATGTACAAAACAGACATAATGATATGTTTGACATGGGGATTCATGTCTCAGAAACCCATGGTAAATTAAGTGAATATGTAGTATTTAAATAGGTAATATTATAAGTATCGTGACAATTTAAATTATTTTTGTTAGCCTATTTAGTGTGTTTATTTACTTTACCGTTTAAATCTTTTATTTTTTTTATTAGTGTAACCGTCAACTATGTTCTGTAGACATACCCGAATGTTTCCGTTTAAGTCAGTCTTTCTTAAAGTGGGCGATAACGCCCCCTTGTGGGCGATGCGGGTCTCAAGTTGCGGGTTATAGTAAAAGTATCCTTTACAATTCTCCATTAATATACATATATAGGTTACAATAATTAATTAATTTAATTTGAAGTTATAGTGGTTTTTAAATATGTGGAAATATGGGGGCGCTAAAAAAATATTTATTCTCAAAGTGGGCAGTAGACAAAATAAGTTTGGGAACCACTGGTTTAAGTGTTCTTTTTTTCAATATGTTTTCTATCTAGGTGTACGAGATGACAAAAGATAGGAATCTGTATAACAATCTAATAACCAGCTTATTTCCAAGCATTCATGGGAACAATGAAGTAAAACGAGGAATATTACTCATGTTATTTGGAGGTGTTGCTAAAACTACTATTGAAGGTAGGTCAATGTTTTGAATTTGTTTAACAGCGCCATCTAGTTAACTGTGTAAAAAGTAATTTGTCTTATTGATATGATTGACTAGCTGTCGGCCGCGACTCCATCTGGGCGGAATTAAAAAAAACTATTGGTCGCAGCATAACATAGATCTCTATATATGTTCTATAAGTATGCCAAACTTCATCAAGATCCGTTCAGCCTTTCTAGATTCAACCTTCAAATAAACATACATCCATCTAAATTTTCGCATTTATAATATTAGTAAGATGTTTATATAGGAATGCATGATTTTATATAAGAAAAAACGATTTGTAATATTAAGAAATACCCCAATATTTATAATGCCCATATTTGACTGCCGGAAACTAAAAAAATATCAATTTTTCAAAGATCTTCGGAGACCAAAATTAGTTTTAAACATGTTTCATCAGTGTAAACGCACAATATTTCCAGGTACCACACTTCGCGGTGACATCAACGTATGCATTGTAGGAGATCCGAGTACTGCTAAGTCTCAGTTATTGAAGCAAGTCAGTGAGATGACACCGCGTGCAGTCTATACCAGTGGCAAAGCATCATCAGCCGCTGGTCTCACTGCAGCCGTCGTCAGAGTGAGTATCTTACTAATATTATATAATAAATGCGAATGTTTGGATGGATGGATGTTTGTTTGAAAGTATCTCCAGAACGGCTGTATGGATCACGCTGAAATTTTGAATAGATGTAGAACATAGTCTGGAAGAACACATAGGCTAATAATTAAAAATAATATTGTAAAACTTTCTATAGTATATTTGAATTTGTCTCCAATTTTTAAAAACAAACCATTAATAATTTCTGCCATTTTTTATAGTCCACAATTTCACTATTATATTCATAAAACAGTCGAATCTGGATAAGCTAGAAACTTCTTTAAGTGAGTCTGGTCATGTCTGGCCTCCATAAGCGAGAAACTTATAAAAGCGAGAATAATATCCGATCCCTTTTGCTTATTCAACTTCGATTGTATTTACCCTTTACCCTTCTTGACACAGGATGAGGAGTCATTTGACTTCGTGATCGAAGCTGGAGCATTGATGTTGGCTGACAATGGTGTTTGCTGCATTGATGAGTTTGACAAGATGGATCCCGGAGACCAGGTCGCCATACACGAGGCTATGGAGCAGCAGACCATATCTATTGCTAAGGTTGGTGCAACTTTTTTATAAAATATGAAATAGCAAAGCGACCCCTGCCCATAGACATTCGCAATTCCATGTATTGCCGTTAATCGACGGAGAACGGGGAGGCATAGAAAGAGAATATTTCGGCTTTCAATCCTCAGTCAAATCCACTTCGTCTTCACACCTTATCCTTACAAAAAAGGGAAGGGCAAGATAACTAAAATTAGGCCTCCGGCTTACATGGGTTTCTGAAACTCATATGTCCATCCAAAATATATTGTTATCAAAGATAATGACATGGATGACGATATGTTTTATATAGAAATTTTGGTCTCCGAAACCAAGCGGTCGGATTATCTATATGTATAAATAAATTGCTGTTCGTTAGTGTCGCTGAAACTCGAAAACGGCTTAACAGATTTATCTTATCTTGGTCTTGAAATGTTCGTGGAGGTCTATTGAGGGTTTAAAAGGTGAAAAAAATTTGAATAACTGCCGGGAAAACCCTTTAGGAGCCTTTTTCTTTAATCCCGCGCGGACGAAGTCGCGGGCGACAGTTAGTATAAAATATACTTACTGAATAACAATATTTATCATTTCAGGCAGGTGTAAGAGCAACTTTGAATGCTAGGACATCAATATTAGCAGCCGCAAATCCTGTAGGTGGTAGATATGACAGAGCGAAGTCCTTACAACAAAATGTAGCGCTAAGTGCTCCTATTATGTCACGTTTTGATCTATTCTTCATACTCATAGATGAGAGTAGCGAAATGGTTGATTATGCGATTGCAAGAAAAATTGTCGATTTACACTGTAATAAGGAGGAAACTTATGATTGTGTGTATTCAAGAGAAGATCTATTAAGATATATTGCGTTTGCGAGATCCTTCAAGCCTTTTATCACTGAAGTGAGTATTGACCATTTTATCAATCAATCTTACTAATATTATCATTATCATCAGCTCACTATACTTCCCCACTGAGGGGCTCGGAGTTAACCCTGGATTATGAATGCGAATTGTTGGATTATGAATGGATATTTGTTGGAAGGTTACATGAATCTCGCTGAATGACATAGATGTAGAACAAAGCCTGGAAGAACACATAAGATAATTCAGGTTTTGTTTTAAATGCGCACGGACGGAGTCGCGGGCGACAGCTATTATAGTAGGAACATAAAAATGTTAATTGCTTCATATTTCATGCTAATATTTTAAATGCGATAGTTTACATACTAAATATTTAGTTTCGCACGAACAACGTCGCGGGCTAAAGTTGTGAATATTTAGATTGTGAAGGTAGTGAGAACCAACTCTTAATTATACATTCTAGGAAGCAGGCAAGCTACTAGTAGAGTACTACACAGCCCTGCGGGGGCGTGACGCGGGCGGTTCGGGGGCGGGGTCGGGGGCGTGGCGTATCACAGTACGTCAGCTGGAGTCACTCGTACGTCTCGCGGAAGCAGTCGCCAAATTGCACTGCAGCGGTGCTGTCACTGAACACCATGTACATGAAGCTTACAGGTATGTCTTACAAATGAACACGCTATATATAAACAAATAAATGTCACTAACTTGGTTTCTCAATTATCTTTATAAAACGTATCCATGTCATATTTGACAAAATAGGGATAGCAATTTAAGTGAAGATTTTTGTCTCAGCAACCCGTCGTAATATGTATACTCTGTTTCCACTGGCCTCTATAAATGGAGTGGCTATGAGACTTAGTATTTTGTGCCTATTTGATTTTCGCCATTTTAGCATTTTTTTGATTGTAACTAATTATTATAGGTAGAATTAACTATCACCATCAGGCGTATTTAAATCTGAACGAATTTAAGGCTACAATTTCCAAGCAATCGCGTATATATTTATGAAGTCAGTTTCTGTACCAGAATAATTAGTAACGTAAGTTCCAAGACTACAAATTTACCGCAAAACTATTGCAGGTTACTAAACAAGTCAATAATCCGAGTGGAGCAACCTGATATACATTTAGATGAAGACGATCCTCAATCTGAACCAATGATGGAGGTTGACCAAGACCCATCTACAGCTACCACTGGTGAGTATTATGTTATTTCTAATGCCAAGATTAAGGCACCTTATATTTTATTAGTTGAAAAACAAATTATTGTTATTTTACCGCTGTATAAAGCAAATTGTCAACCCTGTCATTTTCTTTGACAAAGCAGAAATAACAATTATGTTTGAAACGGAAATTTTGGTCTCAGAAGCCCACGGTTAATAATTAGTTTTTTATTGCCTTCTAGTGAATGGAGACTCATCTGGAAAGAAGAAATTAACCCTATCCTTTGAAGAATACAAATCACTAAGCGTCATGCTTGTTGTATTTATGAGGAAAGAGGAAAGCGAAGCGGAATCTAGAGGTAAGTTATATGTATTTGAAGAATTTGCCAGCGACGTATTCTCAAGGAATTAAAGAAAAACTCGTAATAAACATAGCCGATGATACTCAGTGATAATGTAGCTTACTAATGGCAAAAGATATTTTAAAATCGATCCAGTAGTTTTTGAGTTAATTACATCTTTTTACAATTTCCCTTAGTAATATTAGTGAAGATTAAGAAAACGATGGACATCACAAATAAACTACCGTACCATATTTTTAGTTAATATTTTTTTTTTGTTATTTACTCTTTTAATCATTCTTGTTACGTTTTCAATTACCTTCAACCTTGACGTTGGCGAAATCATAGAAATTAAACGATGGGGTCCATTAGTAAATAAAAGAAAAAGAAGAAGTAGTTAATAAAATCATTTACTACGCGCGCAAATAATAGTATTTGCGTGGTATTATTTAGTATTAATAGTCATTTAGCACTGAGAGTTCTTAAGAGCATTTAGTGTGATTAAATATACACTATGGACTATTTAAGTAACTCATTAGATTATTTTACTGTGTCACAAACGCACACGTAATGCAGGTGTCATGTTATAGTACCTGGATAGTAATATAATTATCCTTGCAGGTGAGGAGAGCGCAGGCATGCGAAAGAGTGCAGTCGTCAACTGGTATTTAGAACAACTGGTGACACAAGGACAGATAGAAAATGAAGACGAGTTGGTTGAAAGGAAAGTTCTGGTTGAAAAAGTTATTGAACGGCTCATGTATCATGTAAGTATAGCTATCCGTTCATATGTTAAGCTTTTCTTCAAGAAAGGAAAAGGGATTGTCTAAAATAGTGATGAAATAAGTTTGTGTCTACCTTAGGTTTTTTTTTGTTTCAGGATCAAGTTATAATACCTTTAACAACCACTGGTCTAAAAGCGACACAGAAATCATCAGAACAAGAGATAGAAGACGATCCATTATTAGTCGTTCACCCTAACTTCGTTGTGGACGCATAATTGATTTTTAATTTTTTAATTATTAAGCTGGTCTTTTTAAAATAATGAATGATGATTTGATTTTTAATTCTTGTGGTTTTTTTTCTAAATAGTAAACCCCTTACATTTTGCAAATCGCTGCAATAAGGCCTATTTTCCGTTAACCTTCCAGATGGATATAAAGAAGACATTTTACCTTACATAATCTTTGGTCAATATTCCATACAAGGCTACTCCTCCAAAGTAACGAACATTTTCCAAATAAGATATGACCTAAAGGTCTATGTTACCAGGTCATAAAATTAAATAAAAACAAGGCTACTCCAATTCTTTGGTTTCTCACAATTTGCAGCTGTCACTGTCACATTATCAAAACAAGCATCAATAATCGAAACTGAACCGAAACAATAAAGGAATTATTTAAAATTCTAACTTAAAAAGTAATTTTAAAAACTTGCAATGTAAACATTAGCAAAGTAATCTTCTAGGTACAGTTTTGGTTTTAAAATAAACATGTCACGAAGACCAAAGAAATCAGTTTTGGAAAAACGAGCCCGTGAATTCGTAGTACTTTTGCGAGACTATTTTGAACGTGAGCAGCAAAATGGTGGGCCACTACTGCCCCTCACTCGTGTTGTCGAGCGAGTTTCTGATGCATTGCAGATTGGTACGAATACGGTATGTCGAATAACCAGAGAAAAGTACGGTAAAAGTGGAATGGAAGACAACGAACTCGTCACTCCAAATAAAGTACGGTTAGTTACGCTAAATATATAAAATTTTATATCTTTATAAGTTAAGTAAATGTTTATATCCTAAGTTTTATTTTCTGTACATAACACTGTATAACTCCTTTTGAATCCAACGACGAAATTATGTAAACGAACGTCACATTCCATGACCGCTATTATACCATTTAAATTATTATTTTTTTTTGTACAGCAAACAATTCGATAAAGAAAAGGCTCCGAGCTTCTCAGTAGGGACATATAAATGAGCTGTTATCACAATGATGAATTGAGGTTTTATTTGGAATGGAAATACACAATATTGTATTCTCGTTACAGTGAAAGAAGAAAGAGAAAAACCAATCAGTCAACTAAATCATCAGCAGAAGCTGTCAATATTAAGGTACCCAAAGAAAGCAATCCTAGGGTTTATGGTCTTAGCATATCAAAGAGTAAAAACTTAAATAACACAAGTGTATCAAGCATCAAAACAAATCTTACAAAGAATCCAAGTATTCTTATAAGGTAAATTTATTTCCAGTACAGTTAAAAACAAAAAATAAGTACAACTTTCATAGTTTGTTGTTTACAGTTCAAAGAAAAAATTAATGCAAAAAACTTTAACACCAAAATCAGCTCCTATAATACAACCTGTTAGCAATGAGTTACCTAAAATCTGTAATCCAATGGTTAGTGGGTTCGAGAGTACAACAGAAGAATCTAAAATATTGTTTGCCAAATCTAATAAAACAAATAAGAATCTATTTAATGTAACAAGGTAATAACTTTATATTACTAGCTGTCGCCTATAGATCCATCCTTGCGCAATAAAAAAAACTTAATGAGTAGGCTATGTGTTCTTCCAGACTATGTTCTATATATATATTCCAGATTTCATCAAGATTTGTTCAAATGTTCTGGAGATACCTTCAAACAAACATCTGTCCATCCTATTATAGCTCACAAGCGCCATGGTGTTAATATCAAAATATGTCACAAGGTCTTTTCCATATGTAGCTGTGGTGTGTTTTTTTCTTTTTTACCGTTTTCTATTTTCCCATGTCCATGTAGGTTTTACATATTTTCTGATAGAACCAAGTGCAATGCCAGTACCTCTTTCATTTGACTAAATATTCTTGTTTGACGTATGTATTCCTAATATTTATTTTTATTACAGTATAAAAAGAAAATGTCAAAACACAAATTTATCTTCAAAATCGCCATTAGATCCAGTGTATATTGAAGTACCGAATATTTTCAGTCCAGCAACAATTACCTTTAATACAACAAAATCTCCTCTTAAATCTAATCATATTAAAGATCGACTAATTAGTCAGACAAGGTAATAATGAAAAACTTTTCAGCAATTTAAAACATATATTACATTTTAATTTAATTATATTAAAAACAAATTCTATTTGATTTTATTCCGAATGAACAAAAAATATTAACATAAACTTGTTTAAATTATGAGATAAAATAAAATGATTTACCGTCGGTTTCTGAGATCAAAATTTCTGTATGAAACACATTCTTATATCTATCATTGTCTTTGACAAAACTGAGATTACAATATTTTCTAAACGGGAATTTTGGTCTCGGAAACCTATGATAAGTAAAATAATTTTAACTAATGTTATATTAGTAAGAATTTACATATTTTTAACAGAAAACATTTTAATTTACTGTATTTATGTTACAGTCCAAAAACAAAATGTCGGAAAATGAATTTGCCCTTAAAATCACTTTTAGATCCAATGTATATTGACATGCCAAATATCTTCAATCCGACATTAAGTGATTTTGGCAGTACCACAGATTCTACTATGTCAGATGTCAAATCAACACATAAAAATCATTATCAAATACATACAACAAGGTAAATATATAAATACTTAACATTTTATTAGTCTTTTCTCATTTAAACCTATTTATTTTCCACTACTGCAACTGCAATAGAGAAATATCTTTTTCCACAAGTGTAGCCCGCAGATATGAGCTAAGTCGCTTAGTGTAAAAGGACTCTAACAAAGTTTTAAAAAAACATTAAAATTATATCTATTTTACTCTCAACTTAATGTACTATGTAATCATCTTCATCAGCTCACTATACATCCCCACCGAGGGGCTCAGAGCCTACCCTAAGTTAAGGGGGATCAGGCCATAGTCAACCACGCTGGTCAAGTGCGGGTTGGTTGACTTCACATATATCTTTGAATTTCTTCTCAGATATGTGCTGGTTGCATCACGATGTTTTCCTTCACCCTAAGAACCTCAGATAAATGTACATATGTAAATCGGAAATCGAAAAACACATTGGTACATGGCGGGATCCGAATCCAGTACCTGCAGATTGCAAGTCAAGTACTTGACCCCTGAGCCACCGACGCTCGCATAATTATATAAATTTATTTCATTTTGTTCCAGCACCAAATCGCAACAGCCCACTCAAGACCCAGATTCAATAAGACTTAAGTTCAAAGAAGATTTAGATGATAACATTGTTCTTGTTGTTCATCCTACAATTGATGTATGTGGTTTTAATTTTCTTAACTAGCCTTTACCCTTGACATTGTCTGCGCAGAATAAAAAAAAGGGTAAAAAGTACTTTTACTCCAGATTATATTCTATATCTGTGCCAAATTTCAATAAAATGTGTTGAAACCTGTGGGTTATAAAGTTAATTCATATAAATCCAATAGGAACTGTACACATTTCCAGGATTATAGGTAGCCTATTTATTCTTCCAGACTATGTTCTACATATACCATGTTTCATTGAGATCCATTGAGCCGTTCTTGAGATAGCTTCTTCCAAACATCGATCCATTCATCCATCTACACATGGGCATTTATAATATTAGTAAGAAGTAAGATATAATAAGAATTAAAAAAAATCATTTATAAACGAATTTTTAATGCATTATGATATACATACAAAATACATTTGTAAATATCTTTATAGTGGTCTAGATGTGTTATATAGTTCTTTTCACATATCTTGGCGGCTCAAGGTAAACTTTGAGCAGTGACTCGCTTGACATTAAGAGCCGCTAAGATATTTGAAAACAACTGTAACAGAATCTTTTTTGTTCTAGCATCATCCTTCTTTATATAACAATTGGTAAGAAGAATTAATAAAACCTTACCTTATTTAAAAAAAAGTTATGGTACTAATTTATGAGAAGTACATATATGAAAAATCTGTATTACTGTGTTGTAAATAACATTATTAATATTAAGCTAGTTACAATATAAAAATAATTAGGGTGACTTGCATCAACTAACTATAACTTTAACCCGCGCCTTGACATCAGTTAAATCTACGGTTGCGCAAAAATTCGTTGCACCATTTTAATAATCGTCAAATTGAAGTCATATTTAACTGTAACTATAACTCAATTTTGGATGGTTACTGTTAGGGTTAAGTTTGTGTCAAAAGTGAAGTGTCAACTGTCACAAATTAAGCACCTATTTAAGCATTTTCTCTTTCAGGCTCTAATTTTTTATTTATAGCCAATACATGTAAGTATAAATTAATAAAATTGATTTCCTACATTTGAACTAACTGTTGGATTCAGACACCAAAATCTCTGTAAAAAACATATTATCATCCCTGTCCTTATCTTTGACATAAGAGATTACAATATAATTTAGTCTCAGAAACCCACGGTAAATGCCCAATGCCTCATGGATATTTAACGAATTTTAACCGATTTTTTTTGCCAATTGACTCGGAACAGACAAGTTTTCATGAAATTCTAATATTTTTTTTGGAAAATGTACCTTTTTTAAAATAAAACTCAAATTCAATAACACTTATATTCAACACCGTTCAAACACTTTGTACAAATCACTTAAATTTGCTATCTGTAATATCACACCGTTAGTCACAAATCTATTCGGAGGTAGAAAATTTCTTCTTATCGCTGGAAATATGACATGTTCTTGTTTCCATTCCTCTGATTTGTGTGTTTCTGTTGTTGAATCGGGGTTTGGTTGTGAGTAAAAGATGGCTGTCTGATGACAGAAAGTATCGAAGCATTCCTTCTCTGAATCCCAATTCACTTCGGAAACTAAACGAACTAGATATGTTGGTAATGCGCCCATGAATGGAGTGTGACCATCTGAAAAAAATTAATTGCCAAAGAAGTAAATTTTTTTACTAAAACATAAACTATTGTCCATCATTTAAAAAAATTCCCGGGGGCCCAATTTACTCTTCTTTCTCTTCCCACCCTTTTTCTTCTAAGGAAAGGATGGGAAGTAGAAGTGGACTTTCCGGATGAGAGGATGCATGGGAAGGGAAAATATTTTCTTTCTGTGCATCCTCTCCTCCGTCGATTAAAGGTAACCAACGCATTTGCTATCCAACTTTAAAACTATAAAAAATAACAATTTGATATACTTTAACCAATTTTACATATAAATCCAAAAGTATTAAATAAAAAATAATATACCAAGCAACAAAGGCAACGCCAATAGTTCACCATCTGCATTCATTTCCAGTGAGAAGTATTCAAACAACATTTCCTTCTTACTGATTAGAAGTGATGTCATTTGCTTCGCCACTTCGCACATTTCACCTGAAAAAAAAAACTATAAACACCAACAAATAAAAAAAAATCACAGGTATACTGAGGAGTTTTTTTATTTATTTTTTTACTGTAACTTTGACATAAACCATACTTGATAAAATCTCTGAACAGCATTTAATTTGTTCTAACATAAAAGCTAGGGTAGTTTTTATTTCGACTTTATTTATGAAGAACAAGTTACCGTATTTATGAGCGAATTAAATTTATTGGGAAGTTAAAAACAGATTAATTAAATACAAGAATCTGTCACATTTCGTTACATGAAAGAGATGGAATATAACATTTAGGCGGACGAAAAGAGACAGATATATAAACTTATTTTTTTTTATAGTGATTATCTTTTTTACCATACTGTGAGTTCCATTCTGCTTTCTGAGTCTTCAGACCTAACATCATCAGTTCTTCAAGAGGCAAAGGATTGGATAGCTTGATCAAACCCAAGTTTTGAAAGTCGTACAATAATGTCTCATAGAAAAGTTCCTCCCTGCAACACATTTCACGGTCAGTATATCGTTCTCTTTCACACTTATTTAATACATATATGTCTATCTTCTTCAACTAACGAAATTTGCTAATTGACACATTTTTAAAAACACACAACACTAGTCTCAAATTGCATACTCAGATTTTTTAATCGGTCATTCAGGGATGCTCTCACAGTAATAAATCTATATATTAGTACTTCAACGAAAAATTTGTACCCCTGTCTAACAAAATCGAATACTAGCTGACGCCTGCAACTGCGTCCGCGATGAATTAAAAAAAACAGTAGTCTGTGTTCTTCCTACACTCTACATCAATGCCTAATTTCATCAAGATCTGTTGAGCCGCACCAGAGATACCTTCAAACAAACATTCATCCATCCATCCATCCATCCAAACGTAATACTCACGTTAATTTTGTCGTATTACACAAATATAATTTAGTAGAATGTTGTATTAAAGATTGATGACAATCAATGCAAGCGATAAATATTAAATTCGCTAAGATTTCTCTCAAATTCATATTACAGTTACTTTCTACGTCCATACGAATTTGTTTAATACTTGTCAGTTTCGTTTCTACCCTCTCATATTTAAATGTTCTCGTTTTAAATGATTCTTTTGGATCAATATAAGTTATATTTGCTTGGTCAACTCCAGTATGCAAATTCCATTTTTCCTTGCCTTTTAATTCTTTTGGTTCTTCTATTAGAGAATTTTCTAGAATATCTGAAGTTTCATCATTAATTTGTACGATTGGTTCATTTTTATTTTCTTCTTCAGGAATAACTTCCTCAATATTTTTCGTATTTATATAGTTTTCATTAGGTTTGGAAGATATTTGAAAGAATTTATCAATTTTCTGTGTATCCGAACTGACTCTGACCAAATTTTTGGCGTAAACTTTTGCTCCGTCGGTTGTTTTTTTAATAATTTCATCGACCATTGTCGCACCTGGTAGACGAGCCTGTGTAAAATTGAAATATTACAAATTGCCCAAACCCCTTATCCACTAAGCTGTGCTATTGCCATTATAGTAAACCACCAGTGAATGATACATTATTTCTCGTTAATATAATAGAAATCCAACCAAATCTTCCGTCTTGTGCCATTAGTGGAACAAGGGTTATTACGTTTTAAGACATAGTAGTCTATTTGGTCAGTTAATATAATTCAAAGAATACTGGCATAAAATATAGGTCTTTGCTTGGTAAAAAAAATGTTTACCTGTGTATACATAACTCTGGATGAATTACAACTGAGCAGTTTTGCTTCAATGCAAGATTTAATCTTCTCAATTATCTGCTCTTCATACAAAAATTGAACCTCATGTTTTGTTGGATGAACATTCACATCTACATTTCTTGGATCTAATTAGAAAAAAAAATCAATTTTAATTAACATAAAACAATTTTTTTAAACTAATATATCATTGGTTTCTGAGACAAAAATCTCTGTATGAAACATATCATCCTCTCTGTCATTATGTTTGACAAAACAGATAGAACAATATATTTTAAATGTAGAATTTGGTCTCGGAAACCCACGATAAGGGATGCAGTTGTGTCTTTAATTTATCTATGTTAAAATTACCCAGTTCAATACTAAGGTAGACATAGGAATGTGCATTCTTCGGCAAATAGGTTGAGTAAACTGAATCCACTGCTTTTCGTATACCTAAAAAATAATTTATAAAAAAAATACATTTAAAACTCACTAATAAAAAAAGATTATGAAAAGAATTATGTTTATTATGAATAAAAATAAAAACTTACTCTGTGAATCGACTAAACGATGATTTATGAATAACAACATGGTTCCTCTTTTATGTGAATAGTTCACATTAGTAACAAATCCATGCAGTGACATTTTCAATGTTTCATCCTTTAATTCAATCTCTAACAACTCCCTTGCGATGTTATTTCCATGAATCTTAAATTATACAACATAAAAATCCTTTATACTAAAATAACTATTTAAAAGCTTTTCATGTAATGGTTAAATATTTCCATACATTTCTCATACTAAATTCTAGTAACGATCTTAGTAAGGCAGCAAATAGTTTAACACATTCAATGCCATAATTTTTACATACACTTCAAGTTACCTTGCAGAGCGAATCAGAGGCATTGATTGTGTTAATTAAAAAATAAAATATTACTAACAATCCTAATATTTTCCACCACTGTTGATTTAATCGCTGTTTTGATATCTGTATTCTCTCCGAATTTCTTCAGTGTAAAACCAACATGACTATTATGTATGGCATATCCACCTACAACCTCCATTATATGGGAATATTCTTCAGTTGCGCTTCTAAGAGATTTCTTACGAGCTATTACATTATAAAAGAGGTCTTCAACTGTTATTTGTGTGCCATTGTTACCAGCGCATGGCTTTATTGGACCTTTCAGTTTACCATTTTCATATGAAGCCCTGGAAATAAACTTGTATTAAAGGTAATAATAGATTACAAATATATCTCCACCTCAACAGACCAGTGTGCAAGAAGATTGAAAATTGCAATGTAAGATGATGTCACAGGATAAATCATATTCTTTGAGAAACTCATCACCCACTGGTTTTTTAGGCCAGTATGATTAGGTAATTGAATTGAATCATACTTATAAGCACACTTATCAGCTGCTGTCTTCGTAAGTATAGTGAGGTGTGAGATATAGCTGATACTAGCCAAGGCTTCGCCCCGGAAGCCGTAAGTGCTGATCTCCTGTAGGTCTTCATATTGTTGAAGTTTGGATGTAGTGAACCTCTCACAAACAATGTCTAAGTTATCATGCCTGATGCCAGTACCATTGTCTTGGATCTGAAACAAAGAAACAGAAATTTAAAAAGATTTAATGTGAATAAGTGTGCAAACAGAAATGCCAAATTATGTTGTAATAAAATCAATATCTGAATTTACCTGCAAATACTTTAAGCCCCCTGCTTTAACGGTTATAATTATGTTTGTGGCATGTGCATCTAAACTGTGAATAAAGAATAAAATAAATTTAAATAATCAAAAACTTTGCATGGAAATGGTTATGTTGGATTACGCAGGACCAGGGATCTGATTACAGCAGTCTACTGCATTGTTATCAAATTATTAATTTATTTAAGATTTATGTCTAAAAGAAGAAGATAAAAAAACGTTTTTTAGTAAGTGAAAAGGTTTAAAGTTTGAATAACTTACCTGTTTTCGATTAATTCTTTCAGAGCATTGGCTGGTCTTTGAACAATCTCACCAGCTGCTATACGATTCACAACATCCTCGTCTAATTTTCTAATAATTCCTGGTTCTGCCATTATAGATTCATATTATTTTATAACAAAATTCTAAGTTTTGAAAACGTAAACATTGAAGACCTTTTAGGTTTGACGTTTCCCGCATTTTTCTTAGTCAAAGAGTTACCACACTTGGCCTGCCTTGGCCTTTGAGTAAATGTCACATACTCTTTGGTACTTGATTTTGCTTTGGACGATTTTGACAGAATTTGATAGAGATAACATGGATCTTTAAAATTTAATATGAATTATTATAAACTAACACGGAATCTAATGAATAGTTTTGATTATATGACATTCTATACGCTTTGATAACTTCTTTCGATCTCAAATCAGACCTAAAGGTCTATGTTACCAGGTCATAAAATAAAAAAAAAACAAATCACATTGTCAATGTCAATTGTTGTCTTCAGTAGTCTTACACTTTGAATTTTCTAGCAAATCGTGTATTTAATTTTATACTTTTACAAGTGGTTTATAAGGTGCAAATAAGGAAATAACAATAAAAGGTATTTGCGATACTGGTGATCTTCTTTTTTAAGTTATAACAATGAGTTTTAGAGACTTTAATTTTGACCACAGTGATATTGATGTCGAAGTACAAGATTTACAAGAGCTTAGTGCGGTCTTGGACTGTATTGGCCCATCAAGTATTGCATCAACATCACAAATTATCTCTCCGTCCATTAATCACGATACAGTTGAACCAGATTATTCAAAAATAGATGAAGCATTATCACTGAACAAGTTAGCCGACGAAAAATTACGTGGGCTGGAAAAAATTCTTATGTTACGATTAAACGAATGCAATCATAAATTAAAAAGTATTGAATCTAAATATAAGAGAAATAAGTTTTTTGACAAAAATGAAACATTCAGGTACGTAAGCTGTGGAAAACCATATTTTAAAGATAAATCTAATTTTACACCTCCTCACAACAAAGACACTATTACAATGTTGAATAATGGAATGTATAACTTCTCAACAATAAGTCCAGTTCCTGGCTGGACAGTCAGAGACAAAAGTCAATTTCTTACAATGATTCATAGAGTCTCACTGGATATGCTTAAGAAAAAAGTTGAAGCAAAGATAACAGACTTAAATCGTGAAAAGAAGATAAAACCAAGTATTAAAATAGATAGAAAAATAGAAACCCTAAGACATGAAATTGTTCTTATTAATAAAATGACATTAAAGCAATCAGCATTACCAATAGGTGAGGAATATGATTGGGAGTCTATAGCTGAAAGGCTTAATAATCGCCATTCCGCACAAGAATATGAAGCTCTATGGAAATTGTTTTTACATCCCGATATTAATAAAAATGCATGGTCTAAAAATGAGCATACATCATTACAGAAAATTGCTTTTAATAATAACTTTCAAAATTGGGATGATATTGCTGCCAAACTAGGGACAAAACGAACTGGATATCAGTGTTTCGTTTATTTCCGGACAAACATGAACAACACATTCACCGGTCAAAAATGGACAAAAGAAGAAGAGGAATATTTGAAGAGGTTAATTGATTATTATAGAGAAGATAAGTATATTCCTTGGGGTAAAGTGGCTACATCAATGGAAAATAGAACTAAAATACAGGTATATAACAAATATAATAGACTAACAGAGCAAAGAAAAGGAAGATTTTTACCCGAAGAGGACACAGTTATTCTCACATGTGCAGACAAATTTGGACTTGACTTTAAGAGAATGACAAATTACTTACCAGGCCGTTCATTAGGACAATTGCGTATACGGTATCAAATCTTAGCCAAGCAAAGAATTTCAACGGTGTGGACTGTAGAGGAAGATAATAAACTTCTGCAATTACTAGCAAACAAAAAAACTCCTACAGTATATTCAGATCTGACTCAATATTTCCCTGGCAAAGATAGAATGCATATAAGAAGTAGACATATGACGTTATTGAAATGGATGAAACTTCATCCTCATAGCGATGTTTCAAGAGCACCAAGGCGAGCAGCACGACGTTTAGGTCATGGACCACCTTCTGATAATAATTTACACAAGGCAATTGAAGATCTAAAGAACCGAATTAAGTCGGAAGTGGAAGAACGCAAATGCAAAAAAATTACAATCAAATCACCAGAAAGCGTTATTGAAGATGGTATAATGGCAACATTAGTTAATCAAATCACAAAAATTGAAGAAGCTAAAAAATTGGAACAATCACAAAATGAAGTTTTGGAATTTTTAGAAGACATTGTTGTTTCACCTCAAGTTTTAAATGCAACAAACATAAAGAAATTGCTTGTTTTATTTAAATCTAAGTTGAACAAAAGCAAATTGATAAATTGTGAGTATAGTAAAAAATTTCCTGACTTAATTGAAGGCCATCGAGAAGTGTGTCTAGTGAAAAAGAAATCCTATTCAAAAAAAGAATGTGAAAAAGTAGTTGTAAAAAAAATTCCTGATATATTTGGGACCAACACATTAGACAATTTAGAATATGTTTTGCCGCCGCATTATGCAACTATAGTTGGCTGTAGACAATTAATGGCATGGGTATCAGAAAGTAAAAAAAATAGAGAATGCGATATTAATTTGAATGCACTAATAAGAAAAAATTGTTTATTAAAAGAACATTTTTTTCAGTTACTTGAAAGATTTAATTCACTCTTTTTGTGGCCCATGTTACTTTCAAATGAATCCCCACATTTGAACAAGGCAGTTGAGAATATTTTCAATACAAGCACACCTATTCTTAGTATCAGTGACTCTACGGAGAAAAATGCTATTTCTAACTCTGTTGTGGATGAGTTCCCAAACTTGACCAATAACCATACTGAACTTGAAGAACTAAATAGTCACAAAGATAAATTGAAATCCTTGGATAACACTTGTACCGAAAAATCTATTTAATAGTAAGCATAGGAAGTGCAATTGCAAATTTCTGCCGTAACAACTTGATATAGAATCAAAGAATATTGTGAAATTTGAATCTAAGCCAACACCATTTGTTATTTTTTATTATTATCATTCTTGAAAGTCAAATCCCTTCCTTAAAAAAAGGTGTTGTTTAAATGAATACATTAATTTATAAATTTACTGCAATAGATGGATGGATAAAACTTCATTTAGTAAAAACCTATCAACCACAACTAGTAATTTGTAATGATATTTTCATTATAATTGTCCATTTTTTTTAATACTCACATATATTATGGCTTATTAGACATAAATATATTTCATTTAAGACTGAGAACATTGTATGTAAGTTATGTTAAAGTAATTGTAACTTAAATTATCTAATTTGTGTTATAAAGTTATGTAGCTAGCTAATATAGTTATAATATGGTGCCAAACTTTTTTTTCACAATATATTTTTGTCTTAATTCAATGGAAACTTGTATATTTATTAAAATTGTAAAAAAACTTTTTGTTTGTATTTAAACAATTTTTTAATCATAAAACATGTACATTTAAATATAATTAGGCAGTAATAAGTAAGTTTTTAAATATATAGCACAATTTTTGTGATGTGTGAATAGATAATGAAGCTGCATGTTTCACAATTTAGAAGTACTGTGAACTGTTATAATTATCATCATAAACCATGTGTGTCTATTTGTTTTATATATAATCTCCTTGTAAAGTTAAATAAATTGTGATATTAGATGTATAATATTTGTTTGGGTATACTTCAAAGTGTCTCAGTTAACCCTTGTATAAAAACATATCGACATTCCTTTAATTCTCTTTGAAAAACAGATAACAATTTTTAGAGACAGGTAATTCGTCAGTGGCAATTGAATGTAAGGTAATTCACCAAGTTCGTTTTCTTAAAAACTAAAGACAATATGAGGTAGGTAGTTTAAATTGATTCAAAAGTTACGTTACGCGTTTTAACTGTTAAAATTTATTTTTATTAACTTTCTGCTTTATTCACTCGTCCATTGTAAATAAATTTTCATATCTTAGTAATTCATAAGACACATTTTGAAGATTTTTGTTTATCAAATGTGTATCGAACACACTTTTGTTTATCTGTGCACTCTTACTTATGTGTGCAGTGCTCTATGGTTTTCGTCGCCATCTTGTTCGGCATGATGTGTTTTACAAAATTCTCATATACTCTTTGGTTTAGGGATTGATGTTCGCTTGTATTTTTCTAATAAACGTTTTAACTTATATACTCTTTGAAAAATAAGTTTGAGCGGTAAAATGATTACAGAAAGTGTTTTTGATGCGTGATAATATTATAATAATTTCAAAATGATGGATTTAAAAGCATGTGCAATATGTTTGACTACGGACACGGACTCCATTGACGTGAAATTTTATGAAATGGATGTCGGTTTAAGAGTCGAATACAACATAGTATCAGGATTACGAGTAATTGATTTGTTTTAAGTTTGAACTTAATGTAAATACATTGTTTTGTTTCTTTACTGAAAGGTTTTTCTGTTCTTAGACATGTAAAGGAGATGGCTTTCCTGGGTACCTTTGTTACGAGTGTTTCGCCTACGTAAAGCGTTTCATGAAATTTAGAAATAAATGCCAGAGAACCCATTATGCTCTCAAGCAACTTCTTGACAACAGAAAACAAGTAAGTTGACTTTGTTTTTTAATGGAATAGACAACGAATAAACAGGTTACCTAATTTAAAATGATTTTCAGGAGATCATTAACAGATACAAAAATGAAAAATCAATGACAAGTTAATTTTTTCAGCAAAGGAGTTATCCTTTCTTTCTAGATTGTTCTGTCATTTTTTATCATCAGATTAATGAAAATAGTCTGTTCATAACAGTTTACAATTATTATATTTTCTTGATTACAGGTAACAAAAGCCACTATTGAGGCCATTGATCGTAAGTTATTAAATGTTGAGCCATCTCTATCTTACTTAGAGAGTAACAGAACACATTATGAGCAAGTAAAATTTCGATGGGTAAAACACAACCGCTTTAGTGATGTAAAAGGTGAAGTACCAATCATGCATCACAGTACAACAGATACGGTGAAATTTGAAATACCCAAAAATGATGCTATTAAAACCGAAGTAGAGGAAGAAAGGATTGAGCAAGATGTTAGTATGGAGTCAGATAATATTAAGGAATCTGACGATTTAAACCAGACTTTACAGCAAGAAGGAGAGTATTTAAACGATGAAAATGTATACCAAGAGTACTACGCTAGTAACCAAGAAAGTGATAATAATGAGTATGTTGAAGAGGTCATAGACAATGTTGAAATAAAAAAGGAGAATGAAGATGTAGACGGTTGTAATCTGGACGAGGAGTATGCTACTGTTGTACCAATAACTATGAAAGAAGCAAAGGCTGTTGTGGAAGTTTACAAAATGTTTGGTTTTGGAAGATATTCTTGTCTTGTATGCAGAAAAGCATTCTTTAATGAGAAGAGACTGCTGGTACATACGAGAATGCATGATAAGGTTTGTATTATTTATATGTTCAATACAGTCAAACCTGGTTAAGTGAGAAATTTCTATAAGCGAGTCATTGTCAGATGCAAGATGGACCGATGACCGGGTCAAGGTTGCGGGAGTGCACTGGATGCGGGCGGCACAGGACCAGGCATTGTGGCAATCGATGGGGGAGGCCTACGTCCAGCAGTGGACAAATTTAGGCTGATTATGATGATAAGTCATTGTCAGAGCCTAATGGTCAACCTTCATATATGATAAACTAACCTCCTTAAATTGGGAAAATATCTTGGTCTCTTTTGGGCTCCCTTATCTAGGTTGGAGTGTATTCAATATTCATCTGTGTTTATAAGTTCCATACTAATTCTAAATACTGAAATTGAATTTGTAATGAGTTTGCCTAGCAAAAAATGGTTGACTATATCTATACTAGTTTTTTATATAAAAACTAGCTGGCGCCTGCCATGTATCTTCCAGACTATGTTCTATATGTATGCTAAATTTAATCGAGATTTGTTTAGCCATTCTGGAGCTACCTTCAAACAATCATCCACCCATCTAAACATTTGAATTTATAATATTAGTAACTCTAGGTAGCAATTGCTATCTTTGATAAATAGTTTATTACCAAATTACACTATTTTTAAAATTAATATCTAATTATTTCTTTCAGCATACAAATGGTAACTATTGCTGCAAGTTATGTGATTATTACTATAAAACTGAATTTCTTTTAAAAACTCATATGACTGAAAAACATATGTACAAATATATATGTAGAAAATGTCCTGAAGTTAGTTTTGATAGGTAAGTCAGATTTTTTTAATCACATATATGTCATCATAACTGTAAATTCTTTTTGTGAATTTCTTTTATGATGATTGACCTACATGATGAGAAACCTTGATAATGATGTCAGTGTCCTATTTGTAGATGAAAATAACTTACTTTCACATTCAGAGTAATTATGTGGTAATAAACTGTGGGTTTCTCAGGTCAAAATTTCCATTTCAAAGATTATCTCTATTTTGACAAAGATTAAGTTTAATACAGAGATTTTGGTCTCAAAAACCCATGGTAACTATAATAAGCAACATTAAGTAACAAATAAAATAACTTTAGATTTAGTCTCTCATACTTAATTTTTCAGAACCTCAGCAAAGCAACATTTCATTTGGTCGCATCTACAAAAGGGAAATTCAAAAGACTTCAACTGGTATGAAACTCGACCTACATGGTTGAGTAACCGAGGAGGGAAGAGACAAAAGGGTGTGGTCTCACTCCGTCCAGTACGGAGAATCACAAAGTTACCCGATGACTTCTTGGTGTATACTCCTGTGGCTCACGAAGAGCAGTACCAAATTGTAGAAGCGAGACAAACAAGTATGAATTATGTGGAAGCAAAATTCAAGTGTAATTTGTGCTATAAAGGCTTCCGTGAGATTGTTACATACAATAAACATATGAAGAAACATAATCCGGTAAATATTTTTTTACATTTTAATACAAAAGATATTAGTTTGTTAGTTATTTTACAAATTTAATCAAAATGGGAGCTTTATAAACAATCAAATGCAATGAAAAGTTTGTAATTACACATTTTTATATTCTCTAGTAAATATTTCTTACAAATTCGATAATTTGAAATTAAATTTACACAGCTATGGTTTCCTACGGCTGAAATATATGTAAAAACTCTTTTTCTCATTGAAGAAACAAAGAATATTAATCTGTACATATTTACATTCTTTACATATTAATGTAATATTGAAAAAACATATTTTGTACATACTTTTAAAGTTTTTGTCTGTATGTCTGTCTCCAAGGCCGATTTTGTCTGATACACGCAGGCAAATTGTAGGCTACTTATATTCTTACCACTAATATATTATCTATACTAATATTATAAAGCGGGAGAGTTTGTTTGTTTAAACGCGTTTATCTTAGCAAGTACTGGTCTGATTTGAAAAATTATTTTTTTGTTGGATAGTCCATTTATAGAGGAAGGCTTAAGGATATAAAACATTAGGCTGCGACTAACAGTTTTTTTTTAATTCTAGTAAAGTATAAGAATGTTATTGCAGGCTTTCTCCGGAGACTACCAATGCGATGTATGCAAACTCTACTTCAAAGATTTAAGGAAGATGTACAAACATATGAACATTACTCATTTGTACAAATATTCTTGTCAAATGTGCAGCTATGTATGCTATAACAAGTAAGTAATTTAAAAAAAATACAGTCAAACCAGGATAAGCGAGATCTATGTAAATCTCGAGCGAGAGTTTTTGTCTTAACTTGGTCATAGAAATCTATAAGCAAGAAAAATATCGTAGCTTCCTTGGTCTATTGCTTATCTGTGCTTATGTAGATGGATTGTGTGATAGAGGATATGCGTAAGAGGGAGGTGAATTGAAATATGACGGCTGATAGAGATGTATGGAGGAGTACATACTGTGCCAACCCTTCGTAAAGATAATAAGGAATAAAGGTTGATGATGACTGTATAATAATGGGTTTCTATTGGTACATAAATATCTCATAAATATTTAACATAAAATCTTTTTGCTAATTTTATAATTTAGAACATCCTATGTAATTGGGTTTAACTAAAAGTAGGATTATACAATTCATTTTTAGGGTTCCGTACCTTAAAAAGAAAAAACAGTATATATATATTATAGGATTACTGTTGTCTGTCAGTCTGTCTGTCAAGACCCTTATTCTCAAAAACGCGTGAAGGTAGCAAGCTGGATTTTTTTTATTTAACACATGAAATGCTAAGAAAGGTGTTTGTATGAAATTTTAAAGTTATGTCAAGCAATTACATTATGTGTTTTATGTTCCAGGGGTCAAGCGCACTTGCATTACAAATGGCATAAGAATGTCACATACAAATGTCAACACTGCGACAAAGTATTCAAGTGAGTTTACATTGTCATTATACAATTCCCTAACTAAACTATTAAAAAAAATTCTAATCAATATGAAACATTCAGTGGAATCTTATTTTTTGGTACACTTATGGATAGTGTATTACAAAGGCATACTAATATTATAAATACGAGTGTTTGGATGTTTGTTAGAAACTATCCCCGGTAGATGCAAATTTTACATAAATGTAGAACATAGCCCGGAAGAACACATAGGCTATTAAGTTTTTCTTTTATTCCACGGACGAAGTCGCGGGCGACAGCTATTTACTTGATAAATATTGTTTGACAAGAAATATTTAACGTATTTACTAGTTTTTAGCATATATGTATGTTTGTACATCCAAAATATTGAATTATTGCAATTAATATTTTCAGGAAATCATCAACACGTCTAACACATATAAGGATAAAGCATCCATCGACCAATATATGTGAATTGTGCGGACACAGCTTTGTCAGCGAGACTGGATTGTATTGTCATAAGAGAATAACTCATAGTAATGAGGTAATTTATCATATTCACACAGTTTTACTAATATAAATGGATGTATAGATGTATGGATGGATGTTAGAAGGTACCTCCAGAACGTCTGCATAGATCACAATGAAATTTGGCATAGATGTATAATAGTCTGGACGGAGTCGCGGGCGACAGCTAGTGAACTCTATAATAAGTGTAGAACATAATTTGAAAGATTACATAGCCTGCTAATTAAGTTTTATTTTATTCCGTGCGTACGAAGTCGCGTAAAAAGGCTAGTTTAAAATAAATACGATGGAATGTATAATTATTTGATGTTAGATCGACTAAGATATCACTTTAGCTACAAATATTTTGTTTTAACTATTTTTTTTCATCAGGAAATTGAAGTGAATGAAGAGGTAAAGATGGATGTGAATAATCCATTGTACTGTGCGGAGTGTAACATCTGCTTCAAGAACCAAGACGCCTTCACCACACATTTTGGTAGCTCCAAGAATCATTCCACTACTAATTTGTAAGTAAAAACTTGTGCAATAATATTATTGTTTTATAAAAAGTAATCAAAATATTTTTTTTTTTTTTTTATATCATAAGGTGGCAAACGAGCGAACGGCCACATGAAATCGCTGAAATAGCGAAGTGACCATTGCCCATAGATATACGCATATGCGTTGCCTACCTTTAATCGACGGAGGGGAGGATGTATAGAAAAAAAATAATTTTCCTTTCCATGCATCCTCTCATCCGGAAAGTCCACTTCCTATTCCCATCCTTTTCTTATAAGAACAAGGGTGGGAAGGGAAAGAGCATTAAATTAGGCCTCCGGGACGCACACTCATCAGCTCACTTTACGTCCCCACTGAGGGACTCGGAGCCTACCCTAAGTTAAGGGTGATTAGACCATAGTCAACCACGCTGGCCAAGTGCGGGTTGGTTGACTTCACACATATTATTGAATTTCTTCTTGGATATGTGCAGGTTGCATCACGATGTTTTCCTTCACCGTAAGATAACAATAACACTGTATTATAAATTAAATATTGTTTTTTTTTCTATATTTCAGGTCAATCACTCAGAATGGCGAGGCTAAGAAACGTCGTGTGACGCGACGTGACTCCTCTGTCATCATCAACAATGGTCTGCCCACCGTCACCAGATGTGAAGTTGTGAGTCATACATACATTATAAATGATGTATGGATTGTGTGAAACATATAATAATTAACAGTTGTGGGAGCCGGCAACATTTTTCCATTGCTCAGTAGACAGACTTCAAGTTGATGCAATTCCAAGTACAGACTGATGAGTGCTTTCCGAAGGATTAATTTAAGTTCTCTTTGCCTTCCCACCCATTTCTTAAAAGGAAATAATGGGAAGTGGAAGTGGATTTGATGGAGGAGGGGATGCATGTACAGGAAATATTCTCTTTCTGAAAGTCCCCTCCTCCGTCTACAAAAAAGTATACAACGCGTCTGCAATTTTATTTATATGGCTTCGCTATTTCGGCCTATTGAGGTGGATACTCCGTTTGTTCCATCTTATTATATGAAAAAAAAATTGTATGTATTTGTTTGTATGTATGTAGTGCGGCGTGTGCCTGCACAACGACGTGGCTGCGCGCAAGCACTACGAGGCGCAGCATCCCGGCGTCGACTACCTCAAGCGTTACATGTGCGACGTCTGCGGACACAAGACTAGGGTAAATATTTATCTTTATATATATATAATTCTTCTGTGAGTGTGTATGTCACTGAACTTCTCTCAAACGACTGGACCGATTTTGATGAAATTTTTTGTGTGTGTTCAAGGGGATCTGGGAATGGTTTAGATTCACAATTTTCATCAAATATTAACTTCATATTAATTTATTCAAATTAAAGACGTGTAGACAGGACAACGTCTGTCGGGTCCGCTAGTACATATATATATATATAATAAAACTAGCATTTACCTGCGACTCCGTCTGCGTGGTTGATTGCAAAAAACTAAGTATGTACCCAATGTATTCTGCCAAATTTCATCGAGATCCGTTGAGTCTGCAAATATAATAAGCATCTATCCATCCATCCATCCATCCAAACATTCGCATAATATTAGTATAGTGTGTCTGTATGTAATATCGAAATAAAAAAATGTTATTTCGTTGGCTATGATTGTTTTTGTCTTTATGTCGACAGCAATACGCGAACCTGATGGTGCACATGCGCGTGCATACAAACGAGAAGCCGTACCAATGTCCGCACTGCGACAGACGCTTCAGCATGCCCAGCAACAGGGACAGGCATCTTGTTGTTAGTATACATTATCATATATACATTTATTAAATAAGTGTTATGTATGGGTGTCTTACGGTGAAGGAAAACATCGTGATGCAACCTGCACATATCTGAGAAGTAATTCAAAGATATGTTTGAAGTACTAACCGGCACTTGACCAGCGTGGTTGACTATGGCCTGATCACCATTAATTTAGGGTAGGCTCCGAGCCCCTCGGTGGGGACGTATAGTGAGCTGATGATGATGATTTATTAAATAAGGGTCATGTATGGGTGTCGAATTAGAATACGTGAAAATTTGCACCTAAAAATGTATTCCTATTTTCATCTTTTGAGTGAAGTTTGACATAAGTCGTTGCTGACTACATTCCACAAATTTTGTACTTTGTATATATAAAAAAAATTTTGTATATCTGTGGTACATTTAGTGCGACTTAATCAAACTGACATATAGTAAACAAAAGGCAGTTTTCTCCCCATTGACCATCTATCTAACATATGTATGTATAGCAAAAAAAATCAAGAAAATGCATTATGTAAATGAAAAAAAAAACTAATATTTTAGGTGCATACCGGTGAGAAGCGCTACCAATGTCAGTTATGCAGCCGACGCTTCACACAGAGCAGTGCTGTCAAACTGCACATACAGACTGTACATCTCAAGATACCTTACGCACCGTGGGACAAGAAGAACAGGTATGCCCACACTGTTTACCCTGGAACATATACACCTTGATGATACCAACATAACTGACCTATATAAATGGACAGGCTATAGGACAAAGTATTTTGTGTCTATTTGATTCTCGCCATGAATGGGTGTTTGTTTGAAGGTAGCTCTAGAATGGTTTTACGGATCTCGCTGCAATTTGGCATAGATTTAGAACATAATCTTGAACAACAAATAGTCAACTAATTAAGTTTTTTTTAATACCGCGCGGACAGATTTGCGGGCGACAGCTAGTTACAAAGAAAAAGTTAATTGTCGCGCATGTTGATAACATCATTACCTTTAAAAGCAATCTCCTATCCATTTATAGAAAATTAATGGGTTGTATGTCTCTTCCATACATTTCTACCAGCCATCATACATTTATCATACAATATGTAGAATTTTACTATGTTATAAATAAAATGTTTGTATTTCTGTATATAGGAAGCGACGCCGTGAGATGGAGGCGCCTACATTGCCGGTCTCCGCGCCTGTCCCGCAGAAAGTGGAGCTCGACAATGTTGATTATTTGCACGCTTATATCTCTTATAATGATGAATAACTTTGTATTACCATCATCTTACAATTGCCGTTAGAATGAAAATTATTAAAATGTCTATGTTTATGTCCCCTCACTAATTATTCTGACGCTAGAGTTAGCAACTAAAGCACGCCATTCACATCAAAGCTACTAAATAATAATGTCTAAAGGTACTAATATTATAAATGCGAGTGTTTAGATGGATGGATGTTTGAAGGTATGTCGACTGTCGACAATACGACTTAGGGAGCTTCAAGAAGCGAGCATACCATTTCCTTAAAGGCCGGCAACGCATCTGCAGTTCCTCTGGTGCAGATGTCCATGGGTGTCGTTGATCACCTCGGTGCACCCGTCGCTCATTTGCCCCCTTCTCTTATAAAAAAAATGTCCAAAACAACTGAACGGATCTCCATGAAAGGCATACATATAGAACCTAGTCTGGAAGAACACACAGGCTGCTAATTGTTTTTTTTAACTTCTCGCGGACGGAGTCGCGGGCGACAGCTAGTATTAGTATTAGTCTCTACTAAGGGGCAAGTAAGGGGATCGTCAGACAATAAACTAGACTAGATCTAGTGACACAAGTAGGATTTTTTTTTGCAAAGGTAATGCTTATTGCGAAACATTGTATTCTGTAAAGATTTCTGCGAAGTTCCGAACTACCGAGATGTTTGAATACATTTATACAAGGTAATCAAACATTAACAGAAAATACACATTGCTTTTTTTTACTTCCCTTTTTTTCTATTATTCTTTTCACATTGTGATTCAAAGATTAATAAAAAAACTAATATAAAAGTAATCTTGTAAAAAATTAAAAAAAAATGCTAGGTCTAGTAATAATACTAAAACAAGCTTCTTAAAATTATATGCTTTTTCTTAATTACATGTATAATATGACAAAAAAAATTAAAAAGGAATATTAGAAAAAAAAAATTATATAGTCTTAAGAGTTTCAATATAAATTTCAGAATATCACAACCATATTTTATTCAAATAAAAAAAATAAAAAAAATGCTTCAAAAATAAAAAATTATGTAATATGTATATGAATTATTGAATCGATGCGTTTAATATTTATCAATTGATTCTTTTTCTATGTTTAAGTCGTTTTTCTGTAAACTTCAGTAAGAAGGTATAATTTAAAATTTAGTTTTACGTACTAGAGATAATTATTATAGTATTTTTTATTTGTATAACATTAAAAAAAAAGGTCAATAATTACAATTATGTTTTTTTAATATTATATTATGTAGTCTGAATTTGGTCATTTATGACTAAATATTTGTTTTAAAATTCTGTTTTTGTAAGTTTTTAGGATATAGTGTAATTTCAAAATAATTGTTACTATAATCGTGTCTCCATTGTCGAAACACTTGCATAAAAACATGTTGTCTCATTTAAATAATGTGGGAAATGACAATGTTCTAGTATTGAAACCCATGATATGAGTTTTCGTTACGTATTTTTACGTGATTTTCGTAAGCAAAAAAAAATAGCAGATTTTTAGTTATAATGTTTAGTTTAAAATTATTTTTAAGTTGCATAATGTATTTGCTTTTTAAATATCGTGAATTTGGTTTTATTTTATTCATTGACACAATTTCTTTGCTTTTACTAGTATCAATAAATATTTCTCCTAATATTGATTGTCTTATTTAATACTCTTTAATTTTATTTAAAAATAAAAAAATAATTTGTGTATAAAATTGCATTTTAAATAATTTCTTCGTGGTTACGTTATTTTTTCCTTCCTAATTGTAGGTAGTAGAAGAAAAATTACCCGTAATAATAGTGTTTATCTCTCACATGTGGGTACTTTGAAAATCATTCAGTTGCGTTTTAAACGCGAAGCCGCTTGGTCGCGTGCCATTTGTTAGTTCGTAGTTCAGATCGCTAATTGTTGCAATTAAATTAAAAAGTATTTAATTTGGTTAAGAATAGTGTAAACAAAGTATACAAGAGTGCAGGCATCAGCAGTGCAAGGGCATCGAGGTGGTAAGTCATCTTCAATATAAATATTTATGGACATTCTAGCATTTACACGTTTCTACGTCCGCCCGGAATTAAATAAAAGTAGACGAAAAATATGTCCAATGTCCGTCCCGTTCTAAGCTCCCTCACCAACTTACCGTTTGATTGCGTCAGGTTAACCTTTTAAACCATTAGGTAATATGAATCGTCATAAATAAAACTCTTATAAAGGTATGCAACAATTTATTTTGAATCATTTTTGTATTTAATAGCTTTGAAACTATTATTTTCTGTTTCTTTAATATTTAAGCAAACAAAATGTAACTACGATATTCGTTATTAGGTTAATAATAAAATCCTTATAGCATGTTATTTATTAGGAGTGATACTGTGTTGGATATGAACGATTAAAATAATATTAAAAAAAAACTGATAAATATAAAGAAAAATACTATAATGTAAACAAATACAATATACAAAACTTCATTATAAAAAAAACAACAAACAGGTTAAATGTACAAAACCCAATTTTCGATGATAATAAATACAGTCCATATTATGTAATAACTTAAATAAATAATTGAAAATTACAATTATTAAGGCATTCGTATAATTTTGTTAAAAGCACATCGAAAAAAAAATACTATTCAATAACGTATTAATATAAAATGTTTCACAGACTGTTATAAGCCCTTGTTGAAAACAACAACTTTACAAGAAGGGCATTTCCTCTTCACGACATTCTGTAACCAAAAAACTAATATCATTTTTAACCTCTTTTGGTATGTGCGGGTCAATGACCTCAACCTGTCAAAAGTCGTTAGAAAAGTACAGATTAAAAAAACATATATTAATATTATTTTGCATAAACTTTTTTTTATAGAACTCGAAAATTTATAAAAAAAAATATTTTCAATATCTGTTTTACTAATACCAGACTACGTTTTACGATTTGAGGCTATGACGTCACACTACTGTTCCGGGTAATCTCCGAAACGGCTGGACTGATTTTGACAGGACTTTCACTGGAAGGTAGCTGATTTATGCGGGAGTAACTTAGGTTATTTTTTAAACTATGTTTAGGATCGATTTGCTAATTGTTAAGTTTGTAGTGAGGTTAGGAATACCTGTAATTCGGGTTCAATTTTGTCGACTCCGATAGACGCTTGCTGTTCAAACAGCGCGCAACATAGTGGTGTGGCGAATACCACACAGAGACCCACCAGACCCAGCTGGAAGGGTATCACCATCATGGGACTCTTGCAGAACATGCCGCGCTTCGTCGCTATGTTCGTTAGAATGGGTGTTAAAGCTGGAAATATATTTAATTTTGATATGCTTTTATTCCAGAAATCTACTTCATTATATTAATACATGTTTTCTCTCACATATATTAAAAAAATTAAGAGACGACAATACAAATGTTATGTCAGTCGAAATCCACAGATAAAATTTCTGTAACCGCCTGGTTCTCTTTTAAAATATATTGCTATCTCTGTTTTGTCAAAGACAATGACAGGGATTACGAGATTTATACAGATATTTTGATGTGAGAAAACAACGGTAATTTGTGTATTATAACCAAAATATAACTGAAATTAATTGATGAATAAGTTTTGACATCGCAATGTTTGACAGTTCGTAATTTCTACAAACATTGTGTTTGTCAATTTTTTTTTAAGTTGACGTTTTTTCCCATCCAGAAATTTTTCTATACATAAATGTGAAATAATAAGGCATTTTAATTATGAATAAAATTTAATTTAAACATTAAATACTTCGTAATAAATATTAATATTTTTTTAAGGTTATTTTTGTGAATTTTAATACTTTTTTCAAGGGTAAAAAATTAGAAAACCACATTGTAATATGTATACGTTTATTTTGTAAATATTTTGTACGTGTGTAGCTTAACATAATAAAGGCGACTTCACAATTGTTATTATTGTCAACGTTTAATATATTTAAAAAAAAAACTTTATAATTATTTACGAGATATTTCCAGTACAAAAAAAATTTACGGTTCAATTAAATCACAATTTAAAAAGTAAATAACAATTGTTTATCAATATGATAAACTAGCTGACGCCCGCGAATGTGACCGCGCGGAATTAAAAAAAAATGGAATGCGTGCAACGTTATAGCCATAATTTTTAATTTTTCAAATGGGACCAGTAGTTCCTGACATAAGCGCGTTTAAACAAACATACAAACTCTTCCGCTTTATAATATATATATAAAATAACAAAAAAAAACATAGAATTATCTCATAAATAACGCAATTACGAAATCACAATCAACGAAAAACATACAAAATTATAAATAATTGTTAAATATTAATCACAGCTAAATAAATGGCTTTTTTTTAAGTTTTCTGTGTCAAAAAAAAAATACGTAAATTTTAAAACTTCATTTTATATATTAAAAAAAATGTCTTAAAAATTATTAAAGAGGAAAACCAATGAATTACGGAATGTCTTATTTCGCACGGAATGGTTTTTAACCAAATCCACAATTCAATTACAATCGAAGCAACCGCATGAGTTTAAATAAAAATCAGATCATTTTGAAGTCACAACCTAAAAAATTGAGCATTAAAAACAACTACTAAACGTGTACAATAACATGAGACTTCAATGCAATTACGTAACAAAGTACAGTATACAGAAAAATCGAGACAAATGTTGTTCCGACTGTTTACCGTTGAGCCGATTTGCTTAGATTTGATTTTTTTCCATTGGGTTAACTGAGTCCTAGAAAAAAATCTTATAGGACCGATTGTTAGGTAGGCTGAGCCGTCCAATGATTAACACTTTGTGTTCCATAAAGGAGATAGCGCTTTGAAATAATACTAGTTGTAAAAATAGTGTATGTTATTGGGTACAAAAGAAATAAGCAGAATAAATGTAGTAATGTAGTAATATCTAGATCCCACAGACATAAGTCGGATATCGTTTTATAAGACAAAAAGTTAAAAAAAATTATTAATTATTTATAAATAAAAAAATGCACGTTGTTTCTATGATTCAAACGTCGATTACACCTTTTATTTAGTAAAGGTGTAGTAAATTATTAGCGAGTTTCTGATATATTTTTTCGTAACTGCATCACCGCGAACTTATTTGACTGTACATGATATTTCACGAGACACGTGTTATTGTATATAACATATATATTTATAGCAACTAAAGTTTTAAAATGTAAATTATGGAATGTTTTATATATGTAAATATATAATATATAACAGAGAATATCGTAAATAACAAATTCAAAATTAAAATATACACAATTAACTAAAACATATAATAATTGTGTGATAATTATCTCGAAAAATTGACTAATGTATTTGAAAAAGTACATCATTTGACTAATAACTTAAACATAACTGCACTAAAATTAAAACTACCTACAAAATCAATTGTTCTAGCAACAAGATCAAAACTACCCTACAGGTATTTCGTTATGATTTATAAACCCTTGTTGAATACCACCTCCGTTACATCCGGATGTTTCTTCATTACTATCTCCTGAAATTGAAAAAAAAAATTGTAGGTAGTTTAAAAAAAAATGGAAAACTTGAACTACCTCTAAATGTTATAATTCCTATAAAACATTTTCTTTTGTAAATAAAATATTATACAGTTTTAACGCTTTGATTCACATATTTATCTAAAAAGTTTTATTTTTGTAATACCCTCACTTTGTAAGTGAACTCAAAGTGCCATTTCTGTCAGGAATCAAACCCCAAAATCATATTCCTTTACGATCAGAACTCAACAATATATATTGATTCGTTTTGCTTATAAGACATCGTTTAATATTTGTGTACCAAAACTAGCTGTCGCCCGCGACTATGTCCGTGCGCAATAAAAAAAAATCTTAATTAGTAACCTAAGAGTTCTTCCAGACTGTGTTCTTCAAATTTGCCAAATATCAGCGAGATCTATCCAACGGTTCTGAAGATACATTCCAAAAAACATCCATCCATCCATCCATATATACAAACATTCTTATTTATAATATTAGTTAGAAGGTAGATTAGTTAGAAGTATATTATCGTTGTGCAAATTCGTGGCTCTGAAAATTAAACATCGTCATATCGGTAGACTTATCCTCACCTGCAGGTGAGGTTCCAACTTGGAGACGCTGATGGTGGCCTGCTGGTTGAAGAACGCACAGCACATTGGTGTTGCGAAGGTCACACACATACCTACCAACACCAGCTGGAATGGCATCACGGCCAGCGGGTATTTGTTGAATAGACCACGTTTGGTCGCCATGTTTGTTAATATGGGGGTTAAAGCTGAAAATTTGATAAATTTTATATCAATCGTTAAAAAAAGAAAAGTACGTAAAACTATAGAATCCTATTTTACAATGTCCAAGTCTAGAATAAACTACATAGAACCTTTTTGTCCAATAAAGTCCTTGGAATTTCACAAACTCCAAATAACTTGTGAAATGCAAACTATTTTATCAGGAACTTTATATGTAAGTTAATTTATTTGTGACTTATCCAGTGAACTACACTTTACTAGAAAATTATTAAACAAGCTAATAGTACCTAGTAATATTTTTTGTCAATATACCCACTAAAATACTAATTTTTTATACCATTTTTTTAAATTTATAATTTTTTTTTATGTTTTTTAAATTTCTATATACTTTATATAAAAATATCTAAATATAATACATTTTATAACTACTTTATTAAGTAAAAGAAAAGAAAACTTAATTTATCGATTCGATATCGCATCCGTCTTAAATTCACTTGTTTTGAAATTTCACACAAAAATAAACAATATCTTAGTTGTTTTAAAAATTATTCAGTAAAAATCTAAGATGCGACCACATTTAGGTATAATTTTTTCGTCACGCGAAAACGTAATATATATTTTATTTTTTCAAATTATCTCTTAAACCTGTCTAAAACCCGATTTACAAAAATATTAAGTAATTATTTGAAAATAATTATATTATTTAATGTTTATTGAATAAAAAAATATTAATTCAGTTGCGTTATAACTAAAACATATAATTTGAAACATTAATGTGTTAAATAATTCAAATTTTCGTGAGACATTATAATATATAAACGGCTAAATTTGAAAACTCACGTATATTCGTCCGGTGGCGGCACCGACTAGTTTCGATCCAATCGGGGGCCCTTCATCAGGGTGAGGACTGCTATTATTTCGAGGACCGGACGAATATACGTGAGTGTTTAGCCATTTTTATATAAGTTTAGTAAAAAAAGTGTCTTGACACACAGACAGTTGGATGGTTGGTTTTTTCCTTTCGATGTACGGAACCCTAAAAAATAAATTTGAAATTGTTCCAGTTCATATACCTATATGAACTTTGTTAAGACATAACGAATGTTTGTGTCTGTGTGATAGAGCCATATCAGCTATGACTATGCAACATGTGTGTGCAGTGTAAATGCGTTGTATACAATACTAACTCATGCCGGGCAGAGCCATGCACGTGCGTGAGATGCAGACGAGCATGATGCCGAGCTGCGCCGCGCGCTTCGACTCCCCAATGCGATCTCCCGCCGGCGTAAACACAGGCGTACCTCCCATCAGCTCGCTACGAGAATTTTTGGTTTTTTACATTCCTTGAATCCATTTCAATTAAAGCTTTATGCTATAGTGGATATCAAACACAATATAGAAAAAACCATAAAGCTTATTAGATCTGAAATATGAGCATATAATTTTCATTAACACGTTAAACGCCACTCAGGTTACAGGTGACCAAATCCCTGCCTGCATTTAAGAGCGTAAAGCACCTATGACATCAAGGTTTTTTCTATAATATCTACGGAACCCAGCTTCTGTTTGAACCCTAAACCAGATATTTTAAAGCTTTGACATTACGCGTCTATTTCCAGCAAAAAGTTTTTAGTGATTTTTCCTATTTGTACTATGGCGTTTAACGTGTTAAACCCTGAATATTACATCTTTCATTCTGTCTCCGGCTATTTGTAAAATTTTCTTTAAATAAATGTTATATTTGTATACAATTGTAAAATATTCATTCATAAGACATCAGTTCATCTTCCATAAATTTGGAACCGTGGATTTCTTAGACCAAAACCCTCGTTTAAAAAATATTATCTCTGTTTTTTCATTGGGATGACGATGTTTTATATGGAGATTTGGTCTTAGAAACCCACGATTAAAGATGTTTTAAACTTACTTGCTTCTCATCATAGGAATGTTGATAAAGTTAGCACCGCATACCGCCGCGAAAGGCACAAGGCGAGCGAATATTGGCGGCATGTTCTACAAATAAAAGTGTGGTTGTTTGTAAATTTCAAACTTAATCTAAACTAAGGGTAACAATTAACGATTAAGTATTATATTTTCATTTTTTCTAACAACATTTTCTGTATTAGTTTTTATAGATTCCTATATGTTTTCTAAAACTGCTGTCTTTTAAAGAACGTAAAGAAATTGACCTTGAAAGTGACTAATATGTAATAAAGATATGAAAATGTGGGCGGAACAATGACGTATATATCACGTAAGAACTTATAATGCTTGTTATTAGGGGGCTTGTTATCTATTTAGCATATTCGTGATAATTATTTTATCATGTCTTTTATGTAATTGTTTGAAGACATAATCTTTGTGTCAACGTACATTGTGACACATTTTTTGCTAGAATATTTTTAGCAAAAGTTTAATATGTGATTGACGAAAGAATGTGATATTATTTTTTACTCTGATAAAAGGGATGACATGGTTTATTCAATTCTGCAAACCCGAAGTTGAGATGCGTCCTTACAATTTTGTAAATACATAATCTTATATTTAACTAGGTGTCGCCCGGGACTTTGTCCGCGCGTTATTAAAAAAACTCAGGGGGTAGCCTATGTGTTCTTCCAGACTATGTTCTACATCTATGCCAAATTTCATCGACATCCATACATCTTCTAGAGATACCTTCTAACATCCAAACTTTTGCATTTATAATATTAGTAAGATTATAATATTAAATAATCGGTTTTTTTTATAGAAGAAGGGAGCAAACGAGCAACGAATCTCCTAAAATTATTTGATCCAACGCCCATGGACATTCGAAACGCCAGAGGAACCGCAGATGCCTTGCCGGTCTTTAGGGAGGAATATTTTGTTTAGAAACGTACGTTTAACCTTCATCTACTAGGTTAAATAGTTAATGTAACCAAGTCATGTTTTGAAACTATGGCATTTTTAGATCGTAGTAAGATCATTCATCAAGACTAAGGCATGTTTTTTTAGGCATGTTTAAACACTTAAATATTTATCTAATCTATAATTTTCCATGTAAGTGAATGAACCAAATAACAGGTCGGAATGTTTACTTTCTCATCACAATCTAACCGTAGGTTTACACTGTTGGTACATTCAAATATTACCATCTCTCTCATTCTTTGGGAATAAATTGAAACAAACGCAGTAGTTTCCGGTTTGCATGTTTACTAAACTTTTTCGATTAGTAGGCGTTGGCTGTTACGTATTGCGAATGTTTGATGATAAATTATTTTGTGTTACTAGCTGTCGCCTGCGACTCCGTCCCAATGGATACATAAAAAAACTTAATTAGTGCAGCCTATGTCTGTCAGACTATGTTATATACGTATGCCAAATTTAAACGAGATCCATGAAACCGTTCTAGAGATATCTTCAAACACCCATCCATCCATCCCCACATCACATCCATCTAAACATTCGCATTCATAATTTTAGTAAGTTAAATAAAAAGCAGCTCTTCAAGTCATGAATTTAAAAAAAAGAATAAATATCCTTAAATCTGTGGATATGCTTAGCCTATCGTTTTACTGAAACAAGTAACCGTTTATTCCCATGGTTATTTTCTACGTTAAATAAACAGTTATTTAAACGCAATTAGTTATATTTTTGTGTAAAAAAATTACGATAAACATTTCATTCAACTACGACGAAGACATTCGCCTTGACTGATAAGAGATATTAAAGATAAAGTTTCACGGAAATAAACAAAAATCAAAGATTATCAAAGTGTTTTTTTTCATCGATGATAAAGCATTTTTTACCTTAGTTATTGACATCTAACTGTCGCATATACCGTTGCTTGACGTCCGGATAAAGCCGGACATAAGTAAGCTTTTACTTAAATACGGTGTCCGGGTTGTATGGTTTTGTTGTTTTTTACATTTCGCAAATGAGAGTGGCCAAGCGCCTCAATGATCTAGGGAAATCTTGAATAATGTAGGGTGTCCGGCCTTTCTACTCAAATGTCCGGCCAAACTGGATGGTCTGTCCGGCTATAAGGCTTAGCGACCTGGCAACTCTCGTCGTATACCGTTATTTAATTGTCAATTTAATAACATTTCTCATATAGACGAAGATCATTTAACGAATATACATATATTACATCTTACTAATATTATAAATGCGAATGTTTGAATGGATGGATGTTTGTTTGGTACTTATTAAGTTTATTTTTAATATCGGACGTAGTTATGGGCGACAACTAGTTCTAAATCTAATGTCTACGATTTAAATTAAATAAAGAGGGTCAGAACTTTAATTTACATAAATAATCCATCGATTATTACTTGTGAAAATATTCATATAAATAAAACGTTTTACGTCAGTATGTGCTAATTATATTAGATTCATTCCACACAGCACGATGCGGTTACGAGGCTGTTATGTAGTCAAAGTATAGTCAACTATATTTAAATAAAAATTCAAAAGTGTCTTTGTCTCTTTTCTTTCAAAGAAGATGAGAGGGAAGACAATATTGTTATACAGAATGTTAATGGAAGTTTTAGAAAATGTATACTCTAGCCTACTCCAATAATTACTACGGGTTTGAGGTTTATAATATAACAAACGCGATACAGAAATTCAGTTTAGGTCAGGTCAGATTAATACTGTAAGTAAGGGTGTTTTTTAGAAATATCTGCAGAACAGCTCAACGCATTTCGAAATCTGAAAGAACACATAGACGACATACGAAGTTTTTTTTTATTCCAAGCGGACGGTGTCGCGGACACCACCTAGTCATAACACAATACGTTTGAAAATATATCATGCGATTTTTCTCGTTTCGTGTGGATGTGCTCTTATACTACGCCTGTTTTTAAAGGCGACACACCTCTATGACTACGACGTTGTCGTACAAATGTCAGTGACGTGACTAGATCAGATAAAAGTATAATTTTTACTATTAAGTTAGACGAATGAGGAAATAGAAATAAAAACTAATAGTACAAATCTTAGTAAAATTATAAATGCGAATATTTGGATGTATGGATGGATAGATGTTTAACGAAAGTATCTCCAGAACGGCTCAATGGATATGATAAATTTTGGTATATATGTAGAACATAGTCTGAAAGAAGACATAGGCTACAATACTAAATTTTTTAGGTACGTAACTACGGACAGAGTCGCGGTCAAAAGCTAGTTGTTTATTGCTTGTATTCGCGTAGAATTAAATTTTGTTAATTACAATATTACCTCACTTTATTATTCAGCAAGTAAATATATTTTAAAGTGTCATTTCCTTTAGCCTTTACACCTTTAAATAGTCGAATTATTTAAAAATGTTAAAGTTATTTGGTCATGTACAAACTATGAATCCCGGTAAAGTTGGCACGTCGGGTAGAACAGTTCTCTTGTTTTCTACGTGCCAAATCAAATATACAAAAAAATGTCCGTGTCTTGTTTACCTTAACTTTGCTATTGAGGAATAGAGCCGTGCTGAGAGCTCCGCCGCAAGCCGCGCAGTAGGACGCTAAAAGTTGCCTGGAAATATACAAATAAAGTCTCATTTAAAAAAAAAGAATAGTTATGGTTCCAAATCTTACTAATATTATAAATGCGAATGTTTAGAACGGTCATTTCGCTATTTCAGCGATTTCATGCGGCCGCTCGCTCGTTTGCCACCTTATGATATAAAAAAAAATGTCTTCGTCACACTCACGTGGTACTGATCGGTGCATCACCAGATCTATTGGTGTAGTTGACGAGTGCGTTGAATGTTTGATTCAACCATTGCCAGAATACTGTCGCTGGTGTCGTCTTGTAGAATGTTATCATACCTATTTAAAAAAATAAAAAAAAATGAAAAAATTTCATAAAAAAATCCATCACTTCAGTCATACGAGCTGACGTTACTTGACGTTGACGAGATTGTTTGAAATTGTTTTTCCAAAAAAACATTTTTTTTTTGGATTTTTTTCATCGGAAAAAATGAAAAAATCCTATTGATTACAATTTAAAAAGTATGTTCACCTAAGATATATTTTTTATATATTTAAATGACATCTGTTCGGAAAAACGAGTGCATAATTTAAATGAAATTACGTATGAAACTTGAAGATGTTTTTTTTTTAATATTTGGTATCTTTAATTATTTAACAGTGGTAGAGCCCGCTTTAACATCTTCGCACGAATTGGCCCGGCTCCTCCGGTGAAATACCACGACCACAAAGAAGACAGACGTGAAGTGGAAGCAATTCCGTGTTTCGTCTAATGAGTGTGCGTCCCGGAGGCCTAGTTTAGTCCTCTTTTTCTTATAAGAAAAGGATGGGAAGAGGAAGGTGACTTTCCGGATAAGACGATGCATGGAAGAGAAAATATTTTCTTTCTGTGCATCCTCTCCTCCGTCGATTAAAGGTAGGCAACGCATATACAATTGCGTATATCTATGGGCAACGGTCACTTCGCTATTACAGCGATTTCAGGTGGCCGGTGGCAGGTTTATTACACGGTCATCAAATATAACAATACGTCAAGAGTTATCAATAAACATCATTGAAAATGTCACAACCTTGCACCGACCTAGTAACCTGAACATAAGTACAAAACAAACTAAACAAAACAAACTATTTAACAAAAGTAATAAAATTCGCGTATATGTATTAAAATATACATGTCTCTGTTTATTTCCTTAAGAATGAGAGAAATGACAATATATCTCATAGTTAGATACGTAATTAGTCAATGCGATTCGCGATATTCGTAATTTGGTTTCCATGGCAACGAATGGCAATCGATCAATTACTCAAGATGTAAAGCAAATCAATTGACGCTGATGAGAAGTAACATGGGTACTATTTTTAAAATGGTTATAGACTATGATAATATTATAGAAATCGATAAATTGAGCTAGAATTTTAATAACAATTTTAAAATATACAATATCTTAATAAATAATATGTCATTAAAAAAATTGTAAGCGATAATATAGTCAGAATATATTGTAGGAAACCGCAAATAGTCAAAATGTTTTGCCGTATACCGGAAATGGTTACAACTTTTTTTACCCGCATTTACTTTTTAGTTTAAATGTCAAAGAAAAAAACAACACAGACGTGACATCATAGCTGCATTAAAAAGTTTACGTTCTCAAGTTGCATATACGGGTGTCAAATTATTGCGCCTGAGTAGCAAAACTTACCGCCAGTGATAAGTGTATTCATGGGGGCCTGTGCCGACATCCTGCCTAGCACAAACATCTTCTCTCCAGTGTCCGGGTGAAAGGCACTGTCATACAAATATTTCTTCTCCCATAGCTTGTCTGCGTCGTACCCGGATGGCATCCGACGAGACCTCCTATTGAACAAATATGTTTGTTCAAAATTCAGAATTCGTGCATTGGTAGGTATTGTTGTCTTTGTTTTTTCTATGAGAATGTGAGATATGCCAACACAAGTGGAAATAAAAGGCCGACATACACGAACTTCCATGAGCATTATCATCAGTAGACGGACTATAAACCGTGAATACACGGACCGAAATGTCAAGAATGCAGACCATCAAATTTACTATTTGGAACTTGTGAAGTGCGTCCAGTGTCTGACGTCTAGTTGCTTAGTGGAATAATAGTGTAACAGTGTACCTGTACTCGTTGACAATCTTCTTAGCTTCATCGAGATCCTTGTCACTTGCGAAGACGTTGAGAGGATTCGTGAGCCTGAGAAAGTGTTTCGCGCGACCTGTATACGTGCTTTGGTCGTAGCGCGGCTTGTCCAAATCGATATTGCTCATTTTGATAGTTTTTCAAGCTGTCAAATCAATTTAAAATATAACAAAAAATACATATTTTTTTGCCTAGGTCTAAATTTATTTTGTAAAATTTACACTGAAAGGGTTATTTAGTCAACTAAATTAGATTGGCCTAAGTTAAGTAGAAAATAGACGTTAAGAATTGATTAAAATTAACTAAATATCAGTCGTATATTAATTGACTCTTCAAAAATAGAGCAGAAAAAGAAATAAAATAAAAAATATTACTTTTAATACACACGATCCTATTATTATAATAACTCTGGCACTTATGTTTGTAATGTTTTATTTATTATTTTATTTTAATTGTACTGGGCCAAATATTATAAAAAAATACATTCTCGTAATATATCCTCCTTATAAATTTTTAAATATTTTGTAATCTGTAGGAATAACATAATATTAGAAATAACAAAATAATACGCACAATAAACACTTATAAAAACACTAGGATTATACTTATAAAAATTAACCTCAAAACTATTTATGGCGTACAATTTTTTTTATATCGAATTAAATCAATATTTATTTCAGCGAAACAACCGACTTGAGCGGTGCATAATTAATAACTGATGAAATCCTTTAATAATATAGAACGTCATGAACTTGTGAAGGCCAAATAGATACGTTTAAATAGAATCAGTTTGATTATTGCTTATTTAAAATAACTCAATACTATAATAATCCCACTCTGCTTTGCACGGTATCAAATAAAACGTAATTTTACTTTGGATTACATTAAGTTTATAACAATTTATCAAGTTTCACATCTTACGTTCTACTCAAAATAACTCTAATTTTTTAATCGAGTCTGCGATGACCTTCTCAATGTCTGGGAAGTAATTATTCGTACGATATTTTTTGACCAAACTAAATAATGCGAACCCAACCCGTTTGGTAAACTGGTTTAGAAGGTGGCTCTTCCGCGAATTTTTGGCTGACATAAAACGTAATATATCACATTACTACAAACATTGTTTACAAACATATATGTATATCTTACTAATATTATAAATGTTTAGATGGATGGATGGATGTTTCTTTGATTGTACCTCCGGAACGGCTGAAGGAATTTTGACGAAATTTGGCACACATGTAGAACATAGTATGGAAGAACACATAGGCTACTTATTATATTTTTTCTGTTAATTCCGCGGTGACGGAGTCTCGGGCGACAGCTTTTAATCATATTGAGGCAATTTAGTACTTGGAGGCATACTCTATCGTAATTGATTATTTGTGTGTCGAGTGCCTAATTCTACTCGTCTTAAATTTCCTACCCTTTTCTTATTACAGTTTTAAGCAGGAGATTGGATGCATTAGAAAGCCAATAACCATATTTCTTTGCTTCCGTTATTCTGACGGAAGTTAGCCTGCGTTCATACCTCTGTTGGATTTTTTCTATTCAATTTAGGACAATTCAATCCAAACTCTAACCGTAGTATCTCTTACAACTTTAACCTTGTGATACAACTTCCGACAAACTTGTAACGAAACATATTCTACATCCCTCTTATTCTAATAGAAACAAAAGAGATAACAACATGTTTCGTAAGGGTTTTTCGGAAGTGGAAACTCAAAGTATAATAATTAACTTTGAACTGGTGACATATTCTTATCGATTTATTTCGACACCAAAGAACATTGTTTGTCAGGGCAGGGATTATCGTTTTATGTTTGTTAGGTCAATGGAACTAATGTTATGTTGTACTAGCTATCGCCCGCGACTCCGTCCAGGTGTAATTAATAAAAATAATAATTAATAGCCTATGTATTCTTCCAGACTACGTTCTACATTTATGCCAAATTCCAGCAATATTCATACAATCGTTCTGGAGATAGCTTCTAACAAACATCCATCAGACCATCCATAAACATTCGCATTTATAATATTAGTAAGAAGTAAGATAGCTTATATGTATTATTATTTATAACCTTAAACGCTGCTTACGCTTTGCAACTAACCTTTTTTCAATTTCTTTACCTTACAAGACTTTCGGATACAGTAGAATATCAAGCTGTTTCTTCCGATTCTAATTTTATTGTAAACAACTCACATTTGCTATAGCTCGTAAAACTGATAATGTATTAATTCGTCACTTAATTTAACTTCATGTCCGTTAGATTTAAAAGCATCGATTTTCATTTTAAATATTATGAATAGAAATATTACAAACTTGACAATTGTTTACATAAATCGCGTCAAGATGACATGACATATTGTATTTATGTAAAGATAGAATAAAATAAAAAAGAGTATAATATGCTTTTTAAAGTTTTTTATAATCAAAAAAGCCCTAGAGTGATTTTGTATGCGTAATATCTTGTTCACTACCGTAAGGCTTGTTTTAAAAAAAATCATCTTTGTTTTAACAAAGATAATGAAAGAGATATGAAAATATTTTGTTGAGTTGTTTCGGCAATAGAAATACACAGTTAAATGGTTCGTATTAAAAGATGATAATCGTTTAGTTTTATTTTGCGAAATGGGTTTAATTCGTTCGAAAGTTAAGCTACTTTTATTTAATAAATTTTGTTTTGAAATAATAAAAGTTCTTAAAAATAAAAAAAAAACTAACCCAGAGAGCGGTGTTAGCAAATATTTCGTGGTCTAGCGCTCGCAACTCATTTTTTTAAAAAATCATTGATATAAAAAAATTTAAAATAAAACTCATAGTAACAAAATCGTTTGGAAAATATCTCTAATAAACAATTTCCAATAATTTAGATGATTTTAAACTTTAAATAATTTAAAATTATCAGCAATTTTTATTCTTTAATTTTTTTTTTTAGATAATTAATGTGCAACTTACTTAAAAATAATATCGATTATGTTGATAAGATCAAAATAATATATAAAAAGAACGATAAGATTTAAAAGAAACAAGGAAAGTTTTATGTAGCCGAGATATATTCTTGATATAGTGTATTACGTAATTCCTCATTATTTTTGACCAAGTTATAAATAAATTAATGAAATAATAGTCATATCTATGGAAGCCCTGACCCAGCACAACCTTATTATCAGGTCTTTTCAACACACGCTGTCAAGTTGATATTAAAATAATCGATAATGTGACCAAAGCTTTTTAAATTTTTACAACAACACTTTGAGGCAGACCGAGCTTAATTAAACGGAAAAACTGCACAATTTTAGTTATTAAAATTATTTTCTAAAAGATATGGAATTCTAAAAGCATTTACTTGAAAAATGTACATACCTATGACTTAGGAGCAGTATAGACAGTTATTTGTAATGTGTATGATTTTCTTGGATCAACAAAATATCTTGCTTTCCTTTCGTGTTACGAATTCATTTTTTAATTGATTATTTAAGTTATAGGGCTTGATTTAAATGATATATGCAGTTTAAATGTTGCGCCGTCAAAAGAATCTGAAGAATGACACAAAAAATCAATTCTTTAAGGTTTTTAGTGTTGTCAGTCTCGAAAATTATGAAATATGATATTTCTTCTGATTTAATGAGAAACATAATTTTTTGCCTTTTGTTTAGTTATTTTTACAAAAATAAAATAAATATAAGAAAATGCCTAATGAAAATAAATTTCGTAATTTTTATCAATTTCATAAACTCATAGTCCTGTTTGGTCACTGTCATTCTGCATCTTTTTTATTCTCTACCAAATTTTCCGTTTCATTTTACGCATACTAGAGATTGCAAATTCCATTTTTTTGTGTTGAACAATTTTATCTTGCAATCAAAAACTAATTTAATCCTATTTATATTGTTAAATGTATCTTAAATTATCATTTATATTCATCTTTAGCTTTAATTAATCATTTTTTACTTAAACTTTTGATTGACAATTGCTATGAAATGGAATTTGCAAATTTGAAGTGTCGTCTTTGCGACGGTAGATGTGCAGAAAATTTTCTAATATAATATTAAAAATATACCTTTAAAAAAGGTTTAATATGTCTCTAATATCTAGAAATGTTTTCCGCGCCCTTGTGCAGGTGAGTTACATATTGTGTTCGCTCTTTTCCTACATTATTTATTACATTAGGCTAAGTGTCTAAATGTGTTTCGTAACGTGTAATTCAAAACTATTTTTATTAATTCACAGAAACGTAGGGTTTGTCAGTAATATCATAATCTTAAATTTATTTTATTTTCCGTCGCATTTATCAACATAGAAATTATGACGTTATAAAACTATAAATATCTCACGTGATGTAGGTACCTATATCAATGAGAGCAATTGTTTTTCAGGGATCGCAGCATGTCGGCAAAGGCGTCCACACTACAGCGGTAAACAAGGATAAAAACGTATGTTTTGCGCAACACACAATCAGCACCCTGGTGAGATACTAACTGGTTTACTAATAAGTATTAAAAAAAATAACAAGCAATGAAAAATATACCAACGAATTTATTACGTGCATAGTTAAGGATTAAAACACATCTTTAGATTTGATATAAATCTTTTTTCCACTACCATAGCTACCCATCTTTCCATCATAGTTTTTGTGACAAGCTATCTTTGCTATCTTTAGCTATGTTTGGATGGATGTTTGTTAGAAAATAACTCCAGAATGGCTGAACCGATCTCTATGAAAGTTGGAACACATATACAATATAATCTAGCAGAACACATAAGCTCCTAATTCCATGTGGATGGAGTTGCGGGCGATAGCTAGTACTCAATAATTGCAGCTTGTAATTGATATAAATTGGTTGATATCAAACGGGAGTTGCGGTCAATCAGCTTTATGTAGTCTATGTTCATATACTTTACGTATAATGTGATATAAAAACAATATTAAAATAATTCATTGCTTGGTATTTTACATAAAAATCTATATTTTTCCTTGGTATTTAGAATATTATGTTTATACAATTATGTCAAAATTTTACACACACACAAACACATTATTGGTTTTAAAATGACTTCTTTTACGATTGCTATTTGAAGGCAATTAGTAACAATATGTTCAAATTTTCCTATGTAATATTTTCTATTTATCCCAGATTTAAATGAGACGAGTTAAATTTGTATGACTCCATACAAATTTTTATAGCAACATTATTTAAAACTGATTGAACTTAATATGTTATGTCATAGTAACTTTGAACTTGCCTAGGAAAAAATCTGAAGACATATCAGTGCTCTTTAAAGTGAATTTATTAGTTTCTTCAGGATCAACTGGTATATATGTGTAAGATTATATATTTTTTTGCATGATTCCATACATTACAGCCATTCTACATTCTCACACAAATTATACAAAAATTGGGTGATTTTGATTCCACTGATATACAAAAAAACACTTCATTTTCAAAAAAAAAGTTCAATAGACAAGTTAATAAATTATAGGCAAAATATTTGTCAATATTAAGTATTTTCTATTTGGCGGAATGTTCTTCTGATTAATCGGTCCAATGCAAAAACTCTAATAGTTCTACAGTATACATGATAACATACAATTCACACTTGAACAAACAAAAATTTAAAATTACTATTTGTCTATTGACTTAACCCATCTGACAAATAAAAATAGCTTAGCTGAAGTGGTGTAACTGTTGGTTTCTGAGACCGAAATAACTTTATAAAACATACTGTCATCCCTGTCCATTATCTTTTACAACACAGAGATAACAATATGTTTTAAATGTGGATTTAGGTTTCAGAAACCCACAGTAAGAGGTAAATTGGAATTGATATGTATTGATCATATACATAATTAGTGGTTATTTGGTTTATATATTTGAGAGAATAGAATGGCTCAGTATATAACTGAAGCATGTTCTTGTTCTGTTTTTAAATGTTATTATATATAATAAAGCATGTCCCTTGGTATGTTTGTGCCGTCCAAATGTATTTTAATAAAAATAACTTTGATGTTGTGTCAATATATATTATCTGTATTTATAATAATCTGTATGATTTCAAGTGTCATATCACAATTAGAAATTTGTAAAAAAAAATATTATCCCTATTTGGAAATCCCTCCGTCGATTAAAGGTAGGCAATGTATCTGCAATTGCGTATGTCTATAGGCAACGGTTACTTCGCTATTACAGCGAATTTCACGTGGCTTTGGGTCGTTTGGCACTTTATGATATATTTGTTCTTTGGTTAAAATATTTTAGTTTAAAAATCGAAGTAAAATAATTAGAATATTTGATCGATATTTATGTATATATTGTTCACGACAATATTATAAATATTAATTATTATGTGTATTAATATAGCAAACTAAAGAGGGTCGCATCAAATGCACTCTCATTCCCGGAGATGGTGTGGGACCTGAAATGGTGTACTCCGTTCAAGAAGTGTTTAAGGTCTGTATACATTTTTAAACTACATCTTATTACAATTATTCATCTAAATAATGTAAAACAATGAAATAACAAAATCCATACATGGTTCAGTGGTTTCGGAAAGGAAATCTTTCCACTTTATAATCTTATATATAAAATTCTCGTGTAACAATTTTCGTTCCCATACTCCTCCGATACGGCTTGACCGATTCTTATGAAATTTTGTGAGCATATTGAGTAGGTCTGAGAATCGGCCAACATCTCACACTAGTAGGACAGCTAGTATTAGTATAGATTTAGGTTTTATGTTGGAACACGATATAATAATATATTTTTAAATGAAGTTTAGCCACCTTTAGTATGTTATAACATGGTTTTTATTTTACTTAAGTGTTTGTTTTAGTAATTTAGTAAGATTACACACATCCATAACAGAAACAATGTGCTAAACGGCTTATAGTAGCCGTCAAGGCCTTTTGTTACTTTATAGGTTTCAATGATGGCTATTCATAGGGCTGTCACTTACGTGTATTACTAATAAAAAATTAATTAAATGAAAAAAGGCAAAATTTTTAATTTTTCTTTGGGTTGGAAAATTAAAAAGATACTTATATTTTCCTTTTTTGACAATCCGCAATGGGCCAGCTACTATAGTCAACCTATGGCCTAGTTATCCTTAACTCAGGATAGGCCGAGCCCCTCAGTTTGGATGTAAAGTTAGCTGATGATGATAATTAATTTACAGGCAGCAAATATCCCAGTGGACTTTGAATCATTCTTTTTCTCCGAGGTGAACCCTACATTGAGTGCCCCTCTTGAAGATGTTGTCAACTCTATTGCCAAGAATAAAATCTGTATTAAGGTATGTAATTTTAGACATTATTAGTTAGAATTCTTTGGCACGAATGGCACGCTTTCGTTACCAAATGTCAGATTGATTAGTGAGGGGACATAAGCATTGACATTTTAATAAGGCTAGTGTTGCGCCGATACACCGGCACAGTGTCGGGTTTTCATCCTAACAGTAAGTACAAATAACTATGTGCTAAATAAGATATCGGATAGAATGACATATCGGTTACAGCGACTAAACAAGCCGACACCAAACTATAAGAGTAAGCAGAGACAATGGATTTACTTGGCGCAGTTACACATTTCTGTTGTCTCTTCTACATTCATACATCTACACTTCATACTATATATCTGCCTTATAAATAAATATACAGTGCCGGTGTTTGGGTAGGGCTAGGACGAGTAACCGCCCAGGGCAAAGGACAAACAGCGCCGCAGAAACTTCGCCCTGGGCTCTAGTAGACCTAAATCTGACATTGGTTCATATGAATATTACCCGCTGATTTCGTTGTGATAATTTCCAGGGTATCCTAGCAACGCCAGATTTCTCCCACACTGGTGAGCTGCAGACTCTCAACATGAAGTTGAGGAATGCATTGGACTTGTACGCCAATGTGGTCCACGTCAAGTCTTTGCCTAACGTGAAGTGTCGTCATCATGACGTCGACTGCATCATCATCCGAGAGCAGACTGAAGGAGAGTACTCCGCGTTAGAACATGAATCTGTGCCCGGTGAGTTGTAGTACAATGACATGACACAATGACATGACATAATGACAAGGACAACGACACTGGTATAGAGTGACAAGGCTATCTCAACTGGTGGGCAAAAGTCAAACTAAACTGACTGCTCACTAACGCCCCCTGTCAAAATAAAAAATGTTACAATTTCCTCTTTGCTCTGTAATTGTCATATCATTTTTCTTTTGTCATTTTCTATTTGTATAGGTTTTATATATGATTCAGGTCTTGTTTGACCATGGAAATTCAATAATTTATTGACAGTGGCACTGTCCAATCTTTATTGTACTTGTAATCTATAAAGGAACGGACTATGCATTCATTCGGATATTCTTCGCGGGGCGTGATGTACAAATGATAATTACACATGCACATATCATGCCGACAACCACTGCTTTAAGAATACATGCAGACTCAAAATTTAATAGCTTAATACTTGTTTTTAGATTTTATTTCACAGAAGATATTATCGCTTGACGAGTCCTGTCACTTAAAAGTCAAAGCTATTCAACTGACATAATACATTGTTGTTGATAAAAAATATCGTATTTTACAGGTGTGGTGGAATGTCTGAAGATTATCACTGCGGCTAAGTCAGAGCGCATCGCAAAGTTCGCGTTTGACTACGCGGTGAAGATGGGCCGTAAGAAGGTCACTGCAGTCCACAAGGCCAACATCATGAAGCTCGGTGACGGACTCTTCTTGCGCAGCTGCGAAGAGGTTAACACTTTGACTTCCAACTCGTTTCGATTGACGGAACATTTGTATAAAAGAACTCTATGCTCTCGACTTTGTCCGCGCGGAATTAAAAAAAGGAAACGTGATAAAAAGTATCCTATGTCTGTCTCCTGGTTCTAGGAGACTATAAATATAATGTTTACCGTTAAAGTTTAATATTTTGTGTAAATGTAAACATTTAAGGTAAAAAAAAGGTCAAAGAAAACATGGATAAATTGTGTGGATATGGATATCCATTTTAAGAGAAAAGGAGAAATGATGGATTTTTTTACAGATGGCGAAGCTCTACCCTCGCATACAATTCGAGAAGATGATAGTAGACAACTGCACAATGCAGATGGTATCCAACCCGAACCAGTTCGATGTGATGGTGACACCCAATTTGTATGGTAACATCGTTGATAACCTCGCCAGTGGCCTTGTTGGTGGTGCGGGCGTCGTCGCAGGCGCATCTTACAGCGCGGAATGCGCAGTCTTCGAACAGGTATCCGTATCCCATCCATGTATCCATATATCCATTGATAAACACTTAAGCAAATTAACCTAGTTTAGTATGTTGGGCAGCGAGAGTCTACTATTTATAGTTCCGAAAGTGTTGTGTTTGAATAGGTATCCATATCCAATCCGTGTATGGATATATCCATCTGATGGATTTTACTCTTCCATGACACACACTTGTAGGGGGTGTCTGCTACTTAGCGTGGGATGTTTTATGTTAGAATATGGATTACGGATACCCATTGATGTATCCTGTTATAATAGGTTTATGGATATCCATGGGATATAGACCCAACCCATACATTATATCCAATGGATTTTATGTAAACAAAACCTTTATGTGTTTCCCTTTCATTCAATATCTATTATAATTTGTATGAAGGGTGCGCGTCACATCTTCTCCGGAGCTGTGGGTAAGAACATCGCCAACCCGACCGCCATGTTGCTCTGCTCCGCCAACCTGCTGGCTCATGTCAACCTGCACTCTTACTCTAAGATGATCAAGAACGCTGTCAACAAGTGAGTATATACATACTAGCTGTCGCCCGTGCCTTCCGTTTCCTTTGTGGTCTTCCGGATTATGTTCTACATCTATGTTAAATTTAATCAAGATGCAGACGTTCTTCAGATACTTTCTAATATCTATCCATACATACATACAAAGATATCTAACCTGGTGGTCATAAGTTAAACTAAAACAGACAGCTCACTAGCGCCCTCCTGATTATGGCTGATTTTACATATATTCTTAAAGAACTTTTCGCGATTAGTCTCTTGTAGGTCTAGATATCCTTTTTAGACCTATAACCTTATTTTAAAGACTTTTTGACTGATTTTCTATAATAGTAATAATGAGATTGTAGTCTTATATAGTAATCTTATGTAAGGGTGTTTGACCCCATTTATTTTTGCCATCCCCTTTAATTTCGAATTTCACGTACTAATGGTTGATTTCTGATGCCAAAATCTGTTTAATATCTCTTTATCATCACCTCTACTTAACTTTAAGAACAGAATTTGATCTCAGGAATCAACGATAAGTGAAGAGGACGATTCTATGGAGGATGATAATTTATTTGACTTTCAAAATAATTATAGAATTTGGTTATCGGCTTTAGTTGGATTTGAGAGTAAAAAAATAATATTTTTATATATATTTCAGAGTTCTCGCAGACGGTAAGGTAAGGACCAAAGACCTGGGAGGTCAATCGACGACCAAAGATTTTACTTACGCTGTGATTCATAGCCTCGTTTGAATATCGTTGTAACTAAACTCATAGAGTTTAAGAATAATTTATTATTTATTTCAGTATTTATGAATCTGCAAATCATTTTGACATTGAAAATGTTACCATTGTAAATAAAAATAAAAAATATGTCTATGATTGTTTTATTGTCTATGAACTATTTGACTATTGCTTTTGTGATGTTTCTGACAGTAGTTTTTTTATGATGTTTTTTTTTAATTCGATTAGTTTTGACTTTAGACGTAAATCTAGAACTGCGGGATAACTCTCGGGGTAGCTAGCTTCTTTGTTCTATCTGTTAGCACGTATTTTAGAGCGGCTGGAGGGACCTGCAATAAAAAAAACTTGTACAGGCAAAAAAAAAAGTTTTGAGTGGAACGCAAAGAGGTAAGTTTTTGTTTTTTTTTTATTTTAAATATAAAAAAAATCAAACTGTCGTAAGATTTGTTAAATGGTTATTTAAATTTTACATTTAAAATTTGCGTAATTGTTTTTTGAATTAATTTCAAAACTATTCATTTTTATTGCCGTAGTCTTTAAAAAGTTACTATGAGAGCCCCTTAGTGTAGATTTAGTAAAACTTAGTATACGCAAATGTGTAACATTAATTGATTAAATGGACAGTTATTTTCTTTAGTGTTTCAACGGCTTTTCCTTATTTCTTCAAAGGTCACGACTTTTTTTTTATAATCACTGTAATATGTAATTTGATAGTTATGAAAAATACCTTAATAGGGTCTCTGTAGTTGGAATCTTGCGACAATCTTCTGTAGATCTTGAATTTGGGCACCGCGGTCATCAGTTTGATACGCGGCAGCAGCGCTTCTAGCGGCTTGAACGGTCCTCGCTGATAAATTACATTACAATAATAGATTAAAAGTCGCAGTTAAAATTAACTATGCCCTAATTGGAGAACAAATTTTTTAACTTTTTTTCTTTTGTAAATAAAATCTAGTCTTGTATTTTGACCGTGTACTTCCACTGCGTTAACACTTATTTTAAAACATATTGTCTTGTGTTTCGACAGTGGAAATCCACGCTAACTTAAATAAAAGCATACCACTATAGGTGGTGGTCTAAAGTCTCTCTTTGGACCAGCGATCTGTCCGATATAATCCATATGTTTCTTCCATTCGCTTTCAGTCCAACCTTTCTTCTTCTTAACCTCTTTAGTGTCTTGTTTCTTCAAATCAATGACGCAATTCGCGAGTTTCGAATAGCAAGTCGCATTCGCGGCTTCAATCATACGATCCAAGCGCTCCAGACGTTCCACGCTGAAACGACTCTTGTACGCACGCTTTGTTAGTAGCATGCGACTGTAAAGAACAACGATTATAAATTGTATTGTTCTTTTCAAATATCTTGCCGGCTCAAGGTGCAGTGTCCTCCACCCGCATCCCATAACGCCCTAATACACTTAACATTGTATTCTGCGCAGCGACTCGAATGTAAGAGCTGCCAAGATATTTGAAAACTATAATACTTTTAGCGGAATTCGTCATAATGCTTGTTTCACACGAGAGTTGTTTCTTCTTCTTCCAATGCCTCTCCATTACTGGAGGTTGGCCGTCAGCTCAGCGAACCCTTTCCTGTCCTGTGCCAAGCGAAATAGTTGTTCAACGCTGGCAATACAGAGAGAGAGAGTTGAGAGTTGTTTAGTGCGGCAGAATACTAGGGCTGTGAAGTATTTATGCTTTGGCAATCCCTTATACTTTGAGTCGCGTGAGCCAAAGCATGTCTCCCTTTTGATATAAAGAAAGAATGAGATGACATGCTTTTGTTCATGTAAGTTGTTCAAATCTTACCGTAAATATGGCCAAGCGGCGTCGTGTACCCTGTCAGATATGTGCGCATTAAGAGCGGACTTCCGGATGCCTCGCGGCGTGTAGGCCGGCATTCCCTCGCCCGTGTCCGTGAAGTATTTCCTCGGCACACTGAGCATGTTGTACCGTCTTCTGATTTTGTATGGGAACGTCGGAGTCGGCGGATCGTACTTTGGCTTAAGCATTGTGAGCTAGCTATCCTGAGAGTTTTGGTACTACTGTATGAAATCACATGGTTCTTGTGATATTTGAGGGTATTATTATTAGGTCATGGTTTGAATTTTTTTTACATGGATTTCTAGTTGATCGTGGTATGACGCGGAATGACGTTTGACGTTTTTGAAATCAGTTGGCTATGGGTGTTAATTTTTTTCGGAGAGTTGTTGGTTTGAGAAAAAAGTTTTGATATATGTTTTAAAATAAAAATATTTATAATAGTCCAAGGCGTCTATTTAAAATATTAGTAATGTAAGCAGAAGAAGAATAAAAATCTCCTGTTGTAAAAAAATTACCAATTGACGTAAGTATGAAAGTTCCTCTAAAAGTGTAAAATCATATACTATCTCGGACCCATTCATTAAATTGGTCATAATTGTTTGGGTTAAAGAGAAAGTACCTTCTTTGTCAGATAAAAATAAAACGAAATAATTTTATAAAAACATTTTATTATTCATACATAAACGATCAAATAAATACTGATCTAAAAAAACATTATATTTTTCAAATAAATAGCAGACTTATATCACATCTGTTTCACCTATAAAACCAGTCATGTGAAGAAACTGCGAACTGATTTAATCAGATATCCTTAAAAATAATGAAGAAGCAAGTATAATAAAAAGCGAAAAATAAACATTCATAAAATATATACGAAAAGCAAACTTAAAAATAACTATCTATATACTTACTGCCCAACACTATTTCCAAACATGCTACAAAAATGCTTTTTACTTTTTAATTTTTTTCCAACAAACTTTTCAAATATTGTTTTTGGAGTGAAAACATTTAAAAAAACATACATATGTTGTTTCTAGTATATTACTTTCTTATCAACTTCAACTTGAAAATTTAATGCAAAAAATCTTTTAGCACGTAGAATAAATTATTTTCCATAAAATCAGTTTTACTTTTAGTGTCAGGGAAAATCTACTTTTTGTGAGGATTCTTAATAAGATAAAATATAATCGATTATAAAATGCTTAAATTAACAGAAAACTTAAATTGAAAGTGTCGTGGGCAGATAGATTTTAATGCAGACTGGTTAAATTTTTATAGGTGAATCACACAGCCCGACAAACTTATTCGACCCGGTGGTTAAGTAAAATTAAATTAGCTTACTAACCACCCTGTTACTGTCAAAACAAGACACAAGATTATTGTCGCTGTAGACCGACAAGGATATCTAATCTGGTCATCAGTCAAAGTACGATAGCTCACTAGCGCCCCTTGTCACAAGGATGCTTTACTTACTGTAGTGTAATGTTTTTTTTCTTTTAATAGAATTTTTTATGCCCACTCATTTATTCTGGCATACTAACCGCAGTAGCAGTGTTCATCGGTCCAGATATGTTTGTTTAAATATAGTCGCCTTTTCTATACCGTGAGAAGTTTTACATATTTTTCTAGTAGACTTAATGGCAATGACTTCCACTCACCGGGCCAGATAAGTTTGTCATACTAAACCAATTATAAATGTCAAACGGAATGTGACATTTGTCAGTGCGGCGCCAAAACATATGAAGGCATCTGCCACACACACGTGTGTAGAGTATAAAACATTTATTATTTTTTTAATAAATATATAAAACCTCTTTAAAATATAAAAATAGCTCTTAAATTGAGCTCCAAAAATCGATATCAAGATACATTCAATATATTATATAATTGACAAGTGTATAAAAAAAAAACATTTCGCTTCGCAAATTCTTACCACAATTAGAGAATAAAAATACTAATAAATATATTCTGTAACCAATTATTTTTTTCCTTTTTGTACGCAGTTTTTCATATACCCAGAAAGGCCATACTTACAAAAGAAGTTTAATAGTCACGCAAACAGGCCCTAAGTGTAGATTTAATAAGAAATTAACTATTAATTAATTATCAAGCATTTGATATTGTATTGTTTTTAGACAGTTTTGACATGACATGAGTGCGAGTGTGTGTATGGTAAGAGTTTGCAGCGCCACCTTCAGGGCTCACTTGACATCAGGGGGAGCGAGGACTGCGGGCTGGGGGAGCCCGGGTACGAAGCTGGTGTTACTCTCTTCGAGGATTTTCTTGTCCTCTCTTCGCTTTTTGAAACTGCAAAAGTATTTATATTACTTAGATTTTTTATACTATCACTTATTAGGTGATTGATGAAAAGAGCTACATCTATTAAGATATGTAACCCTTTTCAACAGTCGAAAAGTAAGGATAGTACTAGTGAGTAATGGTTTGTATATTGCTTTTTCTTGCAAGACCATGACCATTCAAAGAAATATTCATATTAGAAAGGTAAGTTTCGCTTAAAATCTATCTTAAAATAGCTACGTACTACTAAAAAAAGAATTGAACAAAAACTAATTAAAGCATTCAACAAAAAATAAGCAAATAGCAATTATTATGCTTCTAGTAATTTGAGAGCAAACAAAAATAAATTATTTTTAGAGAGATAGAATAAATTATATATAACGATTCTCTCAAATAACTGAAAGCAATGTAAGCGCGAGCCATTTGTATCCCAAATTAATGTACCACGACCAACCACCACCGTTCGACTCATTCGGCGAATAAAGTTACATCTCCTATGAGGTAAAAGGTTTTATGTACAGATGTAACTATTTTCGTCGATTGTGTCTGGTATATATCAAACTCTGCGACATACCTCCCATACTAAGCGGTATGGTAATGATGACGGGTGGTGACAATATTATGGAAATAAAAAAAAATAATTTAAGTTTATATTTAAGTCAAAATATAACGGATTGATAGGACATTAGTGTAAAAAACATATTCCGTGTCCCTTTCCCTTCCCAATTCCTTCCCCTTCTCATGTTTTAAATGCATAAGAAAAAATTAGAAGAAAAGTTATATTTTGACTGTTTTAAATTTGTAACCAATAAAAAAGTATACTGGTAAAAAAAAATCATTAAAATTTGAAGAGCTATTTGGGTCCAATATTAAAATTCTAAAAATCTAAAACTGTGGAAGTATTTTCATAAATAAAAATAATGTGTGCATAAAAATGTAAAAAAAAAACACTCCGTGATTTAAAACACAATCAAAACAACATAAAATCACTCGTAAAATTACATAAAGTACTCACCAAGCCTTTATTTTCTGATATATGTATATTGCCATCATGGGGAATGGTGTCATAATGGCCACTGACACTGGGACAACTGGAAAATATGTTAATACCGCTTAATACGACTTATAATACATTCCAGCTGAATGTCGTATAATTTCATTATAAATATAATACCAATTATTGGGAATACTGTCGGTCTCTTCGATGTCGGTGAAGACAGACAAGACAGATATGATCCGACAAGGATCATGTGACACTTTTTCGACATTAAAGTTGTCAACTTCCTTTACTTGAACTTGTTTTTTAGAGTATCATTTTTACCACATATAATGAGATCGTAAAAATGTCACACAAGTTTGTCTAACTATATAAACTAGCGATCGCCCTCGACTTCGTTTGCACAAAATAAAGAAAAGAAGACTATTATATTCTTGTATACATCATATAGTCCGTTAAAGTCCCGTCAAAATCCGGTCCAGATGTTCCGAAGATTATCCGTAACAGATGCGTACATACAGACACTTTGAATTCATCAACATATATGTATAGTTACCAGTGGTGAGATCAGCTTCAGGTTGCGGCAGCGTGTAGCGCAGCAGGAAGATGGCGATGCCGGTGTTGGTGATGCCGGTCTCTATGGAGATGGCGAGCGCGTCTGCGTGCGGCTGCCGGCACACGCGCCCCGCCAGGTACCCGAAGATGTAGCCCAGCCACGGCACACCCATACCCGCTACTATTATCTACGAATACATGTACAGTCAGGGTCATCCGCGGTCATTCACATATAGAAAAAGTGCCTTATTCCTTGCAACGAGATAAATTCTACTACTTCTTATAAAATTTCTAATTGATTAGTCAAGTCATTGGTAGTAAGCAAATTTAAAAGCTGTTTTCCATAGGTTACGTCAACGTCTTAATACATTCGACACGTCTGTAGTTTACGGTGGAATATCACCAGATTACCCGATAGTACATCGTGGAATATAATATCTTAGGGATAGTGACGAAAACGACCATTTCGACGAAAAGAGTTACATCTCAAAAGGTTTCATAAGAGCTAAATCTCTTATGAAACCTTTTAAGATGTAACTCTTTTAATTAGTTTTAAAATAAAAACAAAAATCGAACCATCCGATGAAAACAGTTACATCTATTGTTAGATATAACTGTTTTCGCTGGACATGTCAAATAACAACAAAATATCCTTACCTCCCAAGTGAACAGTTCAAAGATGTACAAATTAGTAATAATAGCGAAGACAATGATGAAGAGCAGCAACAGAGTGGAGAACCCTTTCAATATCCGCACCATGAAGGCGGAGAGGCGCGGCGTGAACTTCTGCATAGCGAGACCTATAGCGAGGGGCACCACCAGGCCCGCCACGAACATGCCGATGTGTTGGTACGGCACCGCTATGTTCGCGTTACGGAACAACAACTGGCCCAATGAGAATAACCACAGAGGCATGAATCCTGCAACAAGTTTATAATGTTTCAGTCTTATTTGTCTTTTGGTTTAAGGTTTTTATTAACGATTATTGTTAGTTAATGAATAAAATCTTTTAATCGTAACCTAACCTATGTTATAAATGCAAAAGTTTAGATGGATGGATGTTTGTTAGAAGGTATCTCCGGAACGCCTCAACAGATCTTGATGAAATTTTACACACATGTAGAACATAGTCTGGAAGAACACATAGGCTCCTTATTAAATTTTATTTAAATCCGCGCGGACGGAGTCGCGGGCGACAGCTCGTTACGCATAATTAAAAAGTTATGGTTTGATTTCTTTATTAATTAAAGACCAATTAAGTATTTATTGAAATGGTCAGACAAGTGAGATTACTTACCGAAAGCGGATAGTGTAGATATAGTGGTCATAGCGAGGGACAGGTTGAGGTTTCCACCGAGTACGAAGGTCCAGATGTTGGACGCTCCACCCCCCGGGGCCACCCCCGTGCAGAACATGCCCAGGTGCATCTCCGGCAGAGTGGGGAAGATCAGGAAACCCAGACCGAAACACATCTGGTACAATGATAAAATTTTTATTTTACTTTAGGAATACAGGAAAAATACAGTAAAATTTACAACAAAGAAGATTGTTCTTCACATTATTACTTTAAAAAAAAACTGTTTTTTTTCATCAAATATGATTCAAAGTTAAAAAAATGTATGTTAAAAGTATACGGTTAACTTCAGAATGTACTGTTAGTAAAAGTTACATTTCAACGAAAAGAGTTAATAAATCCCATAAGAGATATAACTCTTTTCGTTAGATAGTTCGAAGTATACTACTTTATACTCACCAGTGGCATAAAAACAAACTGTCCACAGAGACCGATGATTGGGCCGATAGGTCTGCGCACACACTCCTTCACTGTGGGCCAGTCCATCGCACATCCGAAGTTTATAAAGATTAACGACACCTGAAAATTAATTTATTTCTACTTTCAAATATGTAACAATTACAATCAAATTAAAATCAACTAGAATGAAAAACTTGGAGATATTGTAAAAATGAACTGAATAAGCAAATTATAACAATGGGGAGAATTGCTCTTTGTTCACTACAAAAACGCTAGATATACAAAAAAAACTTTATTTTAGATATACAAAATAAAAAGTGCTCTTTGGAATGTAGTCATAGCAACGACTTCTGACAAATTATGCACGAAAATTTCCAAAATAAGTAATTTTTTAAATATATTTTTCACAAATTATTTATAACTAAAAATAGCTTTATTTCATCTGGGGATGTATTCCGGCTACGGCGCACTTTTTTTAATTCTTTTAATTCGAGCAGTCATAAAGAATACATCTTTTTTAAATCGCTACAACGACGTATAAAAACTTCATGTCAGCTGACTATTAACAGAAAATTGAATAATCTATCGCCACTAAAACTTCGTTTTAAATTATCACATTGGTTAGTTTAAATATCACTAAACATACAGAAATATACTTACGAAAACGGCAACACTGGTGGTGAATATAGTGTCAATGACTCGCTGAGGTCTCAACACGGTGACAGGCAGTGTGCCGTTCACCGGGAACTCTGTAGTACCACGCTTCACTTCCAGGTATAAATCCGTACGACCTGGACACAATTTACACTAAAGGTTCTATTGTCACTTACGTCTTTATTCGTGGAATAAAGACTCAACTGTCTTACTTATTAGTAAGAATCAAAGCAGACTTTTTTAATTTCAATCAATTAGGCATCCACGATGAAATGGAATAAGAGAGAAACAAGCGTAAAACTATAAACGTACGTACACAGATACATTAAAACTAGAAAAAAAATCAATACTTACCAAGAAATTCAGCGGTGACCTGAAACCGTCCCTTCCAATTAGATGCAGCCTCGTCCACTCTATACGTTGAATTCCAATCTCCGTAGGCCACGTGGTGATTCCTGGATTTTATCTGGAACTCGTCGGCTGGCTGTAACCCATCACCTGGGGAATTTAAACGGTTTAACATAATAAAACTTCAAGATTTTATGAAAGCTGTACAAATAAAATATTTTTTTTAAAAGTGGCAAACGACAAAGCGGACACCTGGATTCGCTGAAATACGAAACGACCGCAAACCTATGACCATTCGTAATTCCAGATGCGTTGTTTACGTTTAATTGACGGAGGAGATGTCGCACAGAAACATTTCCCCTTCCTATACGTCCCCTCCTCCGTAGAATTCATATCCCTTCCCATCCTTTCCTTATAAAAAAGGCTGGGAACATTATCATCATTCCTCGTGCATAAAACAAAGGATTGGATCAAGTTTCTGGCGTCAGTACGTTCCCATTGTCCAAGTCATGCGTGTGCATTCAACTGTTGTGTCTTTCGTTCACAACCCCAGTTAACACCAAGTTGGATCAACACAGGCATAGCAAATGCAATAATTAAATAAAATTACCTTTAACTTCAACATCGATGAAATCATAATATGCCATGTGCAGACTAAGATTGTTGGGTTTGAATGTGGCGAGGAGGTTCGGCGCCGACTGGCACATCACCCAGATGGGGCATAGTGCCAGGATGTACAGGATCACGATGTGGAGGGGCCATATCGGACACATGGCGCGGCCCACTGGAATACAAGACAGACTTTTACAACGATAAACCATACTATGTGACGAAAAGAGTTACGTCTTTCATGTATCGCTACCAGATGTTTTCGTCGTAAATCCCGACTAAAACTCATATAACTGCCTTAAAATAGTACAAAATCGATATTTAAAAACTATCATTTATTACCAATGAATTTCCTTTTCGTGGTCCTTATAACCGTATTTATAAAATATATCTCTACGTTGTGTTTTTTTTTTATTAAAAGGTAAATAGCATTTGTATGCATAATACAATAGTAGTGAAGTATATAAATAATAAAAGGTTACATGTTAATCGTATATTGAACTCGATATAAGATAAATGTTAGTTATTTTAGTGTTCACTTTACCTGGTATAAACAATAAAATCTTTTCTCTTTATAGTAATATTAAAACAATGAAAACCCAAGGTTAATTATCCTCTTTACTTATAAATCTTAACAGTCCTCTGATTTCGTAAAAATATGTACAAAACACTTCAAACCATTCATTCTTTTAGTCCAAACAAACACTTATGTATCTCAGACTGTACAAAGAATTTCATTGTTACGACATATAGAGCGATTAATGTCTTGCTCAGAAAACAATCGCATTGTTTGAGCATATAATTGTTGTATGTATGTCCCATACACATTCATACAGATGACAGATACATTTATTAACGTCCACACATGTTAGGTTTTGAAAATTGCAGACGAAACACAGGGCTGTATTAATTCAGTGGGACGTCGCGGTGGTAAGTTAACACGATCCCGTGGCGTCCCACATTATGGCTATAAGGGAACAGAGGGGTTTTGTGGGTATGCTCCCATTCGGGGAGAGAATCCCACATAACTACCGTGCCTTCCCCGAGGCACGTAGTATGACTAAAGCATTCCCCTCAGAAACAAAAAAACGGCTGTGTTATTTGTAAAGGGCGCCCTGATGCGAAAGTCAATTTGGCGCCCCCAAAAATAATACGTCCATTGGCTCGTACTCATACTCATACGTCTCTATGTTTTGGCGCGTCAACGACCCGCAACCTTTGGACCCTCACGTTAAGACGGCCCAAGATTGACAAAAACGCTTTTCTATAAATAAACTTAATGTCCTAACAAGCTGGGATTTGTTAATTATGCATAACCTAAAGTGTGTGGTTTACATAAAACATTTTACATTTACGGCGTAACTTAAATATGTAATTAAAACAATTTGGAATCAGCAGTTTTCGTGTGACTATTGGAGTTTCCATTGCAGATATACATATACAAAAACATTGTCTTTGTCTCATATAAAGGAGATGACAGTGTTTTTTGCATGTTTCGACAGTGAATACCTTCGGTGGAAAACTTATTTTAAATTTAAACAGATTGGATACGAATAAATTCGTCGCAAATTTAGTTACGTTCAATAAAAACTTGACTGAATTTATCTACACTAATTACAATATTTATCAAATAATTAAACATTTAAAGTCGCGTGATAATCTATATCTCACCTTGCTTGTTACCACTTACATAAAAACCAAATAAATACCTATACATTCCATATCACGTCATTTCATAAATGAATTTCAATCCCCAATTTAACTGCAAATTTTGTTATCATTTAAAAAATTGTCATCATCAGCTCACTACATGTCCCCACTGAGTAACTCGGAGCCTACCCTAAGTTAAGGGTGATTAGGCCATAGTCAACCACGCTGGCCAAGTGCGGGTTGGTTGACTTCACACATATCTTTGAATTTTTCTCAGATACGTGCAGGTAGCATGTTTTCCTTCAACGTAAAAACGTCGGATAAATGTACATATGTAAATCGGAATTCGAAAAACACATTGGATGGCGCGATTCGAACCCAGGACCTGCAGATTGCAAGTCAAGTGCTTAACTCCTGAGCCACCGACGATTTAAAAATAATAATATATTTAAAAAAATAGTTACCGAAAATTTATGTAAGGACTTGAAAAATTACAAAAAATTCTATAATTTACTCAGGAATTTGTAAGTTAATCGTCTAATCTATTATATTAATCGTTAATATAATAATCTAATAATATATGTTATCTTATATAATATAAAAAAATAATTAAATAGCAATTCATTGTCACTGTTAATTTTCGTCTTGTCGTTTATATTTATCACATAAATATCAAATATCAAAATCACGCGCAAAGAAAGCTAATCAATTCACCAAAATGTTATTGTCCGAATTTATTTTTTAATATCACAGAAATTGCAAAAAATAACCAGTCACCACATTCGTCTAAATAGCGTCATATCTAATTGCAGATGTGTTGCCTATCTTGGGATGGGAAAGGAGACCAAAATAAGGCCTTCAGCAAGCAAATTTTATAGTTTTTAAATATTATAATAAAACCTGTTCACATATTATTTACGCTGAAGTATAGTGGTGGTCAGATTTTGTGAAAAACTCCAATTATGTCTAGAGCATCTTGGTAGAAACATATATGACCTATAGTCGACATTCTTAAAATTCTTAATGGAGAATGGTGGATTATATTTAATAACTAAATTGTTAAGGTCACTCACTTTTTCCTCCTTTTCACTTCACTAATTAATCACAATATCTTAAATATTTTTTTAATCATTTACTAAGACGTTGATTAGTCTACCAATTACGATTACTACTAACTGTATATTCAGTGGTTCTCAAACTTTCCGACCAATCATTATCTTAGATGTTTTCAAAGTAATTGATATAATTACATTTGCTGTAAAATTGTCGATCGTGCACGTGAAATAGCCTCTCGTGGATTTTGTCACGTACTGATAACAACTGATAAAAATGTATTTAGCATAAAGTCAGTGATGGATCATTTAAAAAGATATAATCGAGTGGTATTGCTCTTTTGTATACAAAAATTACATGACTCATGAGCATTACCGGTGCCACAGGTGAGATTTTCTTGGCGCCCATTTTGAGTTTCGGGGGGAAATCTTCCAAAGATAGAGTCTTATCTTCAGGGGCGCCGGGCACTTTTTTATATCTGGCGCCTTTCGTGGGCGCCCCATTTTGTCTTATTAACCTAACGCCGCTACTATAAGCGAAAGGAAGGCATCATACTAAAGTCGCAATCTCATTCGTCGATAACTCGGTCTTTATACACCATGCAGATAGTCTCCGATTATGTGCTAACGACTAATGAAAATGATCGGTCATGCGGGGACTTTGCTCAGACACTAGACAATTTAAATAATTATTTCTAAAAATATTGCCGTTTCATGATTTCCCTTTGAATAAAAAATATTATATAATTGTGTAGTCAATTATGATGTTTCATTTAAGATTTCAAGAAGTTTGTAATTGGTAGATGGCACAGGGTTTCGTCAGCAAACAGATCTTTAGTCTTAAGTTAGCCAACCCTGCTCTAGGGCATTAAAGTAACGCTTATTTATAACGATAACTGGATGTTATTGAATACATCCGTAAACCGGTTTCTGCTATTAAGATTGACCTTGTAACTTGCATAATACGTGCACAGAGTAAAAATGAATCAATGCCCGACATTTTGATGTCTATTAAACATAAAAATATGTCGAAAATTACATAGGAAAATTAGTATTATAAAACTATATGTTTCAGAGAAGACCGTTTTGTTTATAATGTCCTGTGTATTTACTTATGTATATGTGTATTGCCTTTTATGTAGATTTAACATTTTATAAATTCATGAGTAATTGTGTTTACAGCTTGCAAGGCAAAACAATTATGAAGTATGTACAGGATGTTACTGTAATTTAATACTATCATATCCTTCTTAGCATTCTTTAAGCATACATTGTATAGCTTACACACTGTATTTGTTGGTAAAATTATTGACTTGATCTCGGGAATCGTCAGAATACACATTAAAATTAATAAAGGTTACAGGTAACGATCAAAAACAAAATCCTATCGGATGAAAAGAGTTGCATCTGTCAGATATTTTAAGAGATGTAACCTTTTTCATTTGAAGTAGATACTCGGCATAATTAGCAATTTATAGCATTGATATTTTTTTCTGTCTTGGTTAATAAGACACGTATATTTATCATAAAGGTATGATTCTATTGGCCCGCACCGGACGCACCGCACTCACGACCAGTAACGAATTTTAGTTTGCTATATATGAATTTACAAAGCGCAGCGTGTATCATCTGCTTCGCCCGCATCGAAAGACAAAGGAAATCCGTTTAAACGGTGCGTGCGGTTCGTCCGACGCGGGCTAATAGACGCGTACCTTTGAGGTCATCATCATCATCAGCTCACTATACGTCCCCACCGAGGGGCTCGGAGCCTACCCTAAGTTAAGAGTAATTAGGCCATAGTCAACCACGCTGGCCAAGTACGTGTTGGTTGACTTCACACATATCTTTGAATTTCTTTTCAGATATGTGCAGGTTGCATCACGATGTTTTCCTTTACCGTAAGAACGTCGGATGAATGTACACATGTAAATCGAAAATAGAAAAACACATTGGTACACGGCGGGATTCGAACCCAGGACCTGCAGATTGCTTGACCACTGAGCCACCGACGCCTTTAAGGTCACATGTGGTTAATTAAATGCGTGTATAAATGTAATTTAATCCTCATATTACGTGAGTATGCATTAGCCAAGAAAATAGGAGTTCATTTTTATAACGAGTCTACGTGTTACTCTTTTTATATTATTGATAACAAGAAAGATAAAGTATTAGTGCTTAGCACTTACGTATATTTGCTGTGTATTTTGGTATCATCAAAATGTTAGGAAGTTTAAAATTATTGTAAACTATAGAGATCACGATTTTAAACATTTGCATATTAAAAAAATCGCACTACACTACGGAAATGTACTTTGCTTATTCGAATTTATTGAAGCATTTTAGAGAAAAAAATAAGATTAAGATATTCAGAAAACCTCAACAATATTCTAATTTAATAAGAATTTATTCAATAACTAGCTGTCGCCAGCGACTCCCTCCGCGCGAAATTACAAAAACTTAATAAGTGGCCTAT